CGGTCGTGTGTTCTGGATTTCAAGGGTCACTGGGAGGAATATTTGCCACTTGTGGAGTTTGCTTATAACAATAGTTTCCAGAAGACTATTGGTATGGCACCATTTGAGGCATTGTACGGTCGACCGTGTCGGTCACCTGTTTGTTGGATGGAGGTTGGAGAGAATCGATTCTTAGGTCCTGAGTTCATCAAAGATACCTCTGAAAAGATTGTTCTTATTCGAGATCGCATGCGTACTGCCCAAAGTAGGCAGAAGAGCTATGCTGATCGTAGTACTCGGGCTTTGGAGTTTCAGGTTGGGGATCAGGTTCTACTCAAAGTGTCTCCTATGAAGGGTGTTATGCGCTTTGGGAAGAAAGGGAAGTTGTCACCGCGATTTGTTGGTCCATTCATGATTACGGATCGCATTGGAGCTGTTGCTTATCGGTTGGCACTTCCAGATACTTTGGATCGCGTCCACAACGTGTTTCATGTTTCCATGTTGCGGAAATTTCTTCGAGATGAGGATCGGTATCAGCATATCGATGTTGGGGAGATTGCGTTGCAGCCGGATGCAACTTATTTAGAGCCACCGTGTCGTATTGTCGACCGACGAGATCAGATTCTTCGTAATAAGGTTATTCCTTTGGTTCATGTTCAGTGGAGTCATCACAATGAGTCTGAGTCCACTTGGAAACGAGAGGATGTCATTCGCTCACGGTTTCCTGAAATATTGGAAGAAGGTAAGAGTGAATTCCGAGGACGGAATTCCCTTTGTTAGGGGGGAAGAATGTAATACCCCTAATTTTAAAAAGGATATTCCTGGTATTTAATGGTATTTAATTTATTATTTAAGTTTTATTTGATTATGTGTCATTATTTTTTTTTAATAGGTGCTTAATTGTTTTCTTTTGTGGTGATTTAATTTATTTTAATGATATTTATTTTTAGTTATTTGATTGGAATTACTTGTTAGTGTTTTAATTTTTTAATTGGTATTAATGGTTTAAGTGTAATTGGTTTAATTATTCTATGTGTGTCTTATTTTATGTGTGTCTTATTTGGTTTAATTGGGTTTACTAATTATTATTTTGTTCAATTAGATTATTTGTTAAGTATTTAATGGTGAATAGGGTAATTAGGTAAATACATCTAACTAGGGTTTTAATTACAGTATAAATTAGGGTTTTATATTATAGCCGTCGTAGGTTTCTACGTTAATTGGATGGGCCGGTTAGGATTGTGAGTTGGACTTAAATGAACCTAGGGTTTAGGAAAACTTTATAAGTATAAGGTAGACGTCTGTGTAGGGTTTTTTTAAACAAAGCACACGTTTTGTGGAAGTGGAGAAGGAAAAACGTAGTTTTTCACATTCTGCCAAGGTTTGATCAAAGTTCCCATCCTGCTTCGTCCGTGGTCCGATCGAGCTGAATTTTGGAGAAGAGGTTCACGACTCAGTGACGCACAATCTGAACGGTGGAGATCAGAGTTTGACCTCGAGAACAGTGATTCGTACTCGTGAACAGTAACTGGGTCGCACAGGTTTTTTCCATTCTGCCCAGATTTCATCAAACATCCGATCCCGCTTCGTCCGTGGTCCGATCGAGCTGAAATTTGGAGGATAGGTTCATGACTCAGTGTCGCACAATCTGAACGGTGGAGATCAGATTTTGAGTTCGGGAATAGTGTTTCGTACCCGTGAACAGTAACCGAGTTTTGGAACTCGCCGGGATTTTTTAAGAAGACGACGTTGAAACTTTGAACAAAAGTTTCTGAGGCAAGATTCTATCCTTACTCTTTCCCTTAGGCTTCATACTCTTTGCACTCCTAAATGATTCCAGGATTAATAAAGATTAAACCAAACTAAAATGATATTTGTTTTGCTATGAAACTGGTAGTTACAGTATTGTTGTATGCTTGTTCAACCTAGACTAAGCATGTTTGTGGATGCATTGTGGTTCTGTGGTTCACGTTTTTCCTTACCACTGCTAGTATAAATTATTGGAAGGATGGGTCTAGATGATAGCTATCTTAACTTTTGTAATAACAACTGTTGGAACTTAAATACTAGGAGGATTTGAGTTTAACACTAGATCGGTTTTGTGGAACACTATAATTTGAGCATGTCTACATACATACTGTGAATATTGTTTTGATGCTTACATTATCACAGTTAGTATCAACTGTGGAGGTTAGGATTTTGTGATACATACCCTACATATCTGTATGTCATTTGTAAGGTGTTAAATGGAAGTTTTAATTAATTCTGTCTTTATATCAGACTAAAGGGAACAACTTAAATTGGGCATGTATATGTTGTTGTTGTGACCCTGTTTATCAATGCTTATTTTATCACTGTTAACATTGAATGTTGGATGTTGGAATTTAGTTGATATATACTTGATTTATTGGTATTATTGACTATTGGAAGATTGGAAAGTAGGCACGGGTATGGGACGGTGGCATACTAAGGATGTGTTTGGTTTTTAAAACAATACCATTACCCACCTACTTGGAATAAGGATGGGATTAACTAAAAGTTAAGTCCCGTGGATTTGTATTGTCATGGCAACTACTTGTTGAGCGGCAATACCGGAGATTTTGGATGGATTTTATATATGTATTGTTATGGTGCCTCGGTATGAGCTTGAGCCTCAGGACCGATGGCTAGGGAGCATATATGCATCGGGATGTGTAGCTGGCTACGATGGTTGGAGGTGTACCCTGTTTAGGTATAGGTACATATACCCACTTCGTGTGCGTTTTAGCATGATACCTCTATTCAGGTTGAGATCGGCCTGTAGTCTAGTGAGAGTCCTTTAGTGTGACTATATATATATTTACGGACTATTAGCTATTGTTGAATTGTTTAGGATGTACATGCGTATCGGGTCTCTGTTTGGATTGTAGTAGTATAGAACTTGCGCGTGGGCCTGACCCACTTCTATTTTTCAGGTACACGACAGTTCTAGGCTTAGACGTGCTCGTGCTGAGCAGAGATCTCTATTCACTCTTCCGACGATGTAGGGCTCTCTCTATAGTTTTATTTCTGGACGTTTATTACAGTTGTTCTATCTTCTGTTTGGATGTTTAATAGGGGTCCACTAGAGATGGATTCCCAAGTTATAAACTGATGGAGTTTTGGAGTTTGGGTTTGATGGATTTTAATAATTATAATATTTTGCAGATTCTATTTTTAGTTCCTTCCAGCTTTAATTTCATTTCTTAATTTATTTTGTATTCCGTGTTCATTATAAAATATTAATTGTTTGGGTTTGGGTCTGGGCCTGATCAACCCGTGTCTCGGATCCGAGGGGTATCACAAAAACCCCCTAAACTATTGGGGTATGTGTAAGAAACCCCCCTGAACTATAAAAATTGCAAAAAATCCTCCTGAACTATTGGGTTATGTGCAAGAAACCCCCCTGAACTATAAAAGTTGCAAAAAAACCCCCTGAATTAATGGGGTATGTGCAAGAAACCCCCCTGAACTATATATTTTTTTGCAGTTAACCCCATCTGAGCGAATTGATTGACTGAAAGGGACGATGAAGCCGAGGAATTTGTGACTGGGATCAGAGTGGTAGATGTCGTCTGAGAAGTGTTTGGATAAGTCAAGGAATCTGTTGCTGGGATTGGTGGGTTTCCTGTCATAGCTCTATCATAGCCGTTGCACCACTCACTAGATCCGTCAGCCATATATATCGCACTTCTCTACATCGTTGCGTTAGCCCATCGCCGTCACCGCCTTGCCCGCCGTTCATCTCACCTTGCTCGCCGGTCCATTCCACCGTCCATTCCAGGCTCGCCGGCCCATTCCGCCATCTCCATAGCCGAGCACACCGCTGTCCGTGTTTCGAGCCCACAGCCGTCTACAGTTCACCGCCGAGCCCCCTTGAGCTCGCCGTCGCCTCCACAGTTCACGGCCGAGTCAACCGAGCTCTCATCATAGCCGAGTCCTCCGCGCACAAGCTGTCATCATCCGAGACCGAGCCTTCCCGCCGACCTCGGATTTCTTTGCTCTCTTCTCTCTCTCTCTCTAGCTCTCTATTTTGGGTTGTGTTGAGTGAAAATCATCTTCTGGCAGAAAAAAAAAAAAAAAAAAATGTAAGAAGTATATAAGTTAAAATGACGCAGTGTATTATAAGGGTAAACTGATCTTTTAAAATTTTCAGTGCTAGAAGCTGATGTCATGGGGGTAAATTGCAACAAAATCATAATTCAGGGGGGTAAATTGCAACAAAATTATAGTTTAGGAGTTTTTTTGTAGTTCAGGGGGATTTCTTGCAAATGACCAATAGTTCAAGGGAGTAAATTGCAACAAAATCATAGTTCAGGGGAGTTTTTTTATAATTCAGGAGGATTTCTTACAAATGACCAATAGTTTAAGGGGTTTAATTCACTTTACCCTTATTATTATTATTATTATTATTATTAATCACCTCACAGTGAAACCCGTAACAGGGAAGTAGTTTTCAGTCTACGAGTGAAGTTAACTGCCTAAATCACCCACTCAGATTCAACAAGGAATCTCGAGGCCAAGAAGGTCAGAAAATGGCCCATTGAGACCAAGGGCTCGCCCAGGACACCAATACCGGCAAAGTGAATAGAATAGATCTACTTTCTGACTTTAGTTATATTGATAGTGTGTAAAATCAATTTTGTTGAGATATATAGAAAAAAATTATAATTATTATAAAATATATTATTATAATATAAATGTTAATAAATGACATATCTGTAATTTACCCATAACATTGGCCACTCGGTCATATCTTATAATTCATGCCCCCACACATGCGGTCTTTGGTACATCTTATAATCCATGCCCCCACACATGCGGTCTTTGGTACTGAATAATTAGCAGACAGAGGCCTCAAGAAATTTTTATGATCTTTTTTTATTATTATTAATTTTTATTAGTGCTAAATTACTGCATTAAGTGTTGTATTGTGAAAGAATAGGCTTGACTTTTCGTACCAAAATAAAGGTTAATTTATCCGATTATTAAAAAATCCAACGTGTATAAGGTTCTCTTTTTATTTCATTAACTGATACATTACAGAATTTATTTCTTTTCTTTTTCTCCTTCAGTGAGTACGTACATTATAACACTGTTGCAATACAGTATATCACTTTAGCATTATTTATTCTTTTCAGGAAATATAAAAATTTCCATGAAATATTTCTTTTATTTCTATTCCATCTGCGGACTTCGCCTAGCTAGCCTTCCCTAAGCCGTTTAATCAAGTACCACTTTAGGCCCTGCAAATCACACAACGTACACATAAGCACAAAAAATAAAATAAAATAAAATTGGTTAGTTTCCTTTGATCTTGTTGGGTAATATTTTAATAAAATTAATAAATATGTTAAATTATATATTAAGTTACATTATATTAAATACTATTTAATAGAATGATTTATTATATTTATTGATGAAATAATTATATTTAAATTCTCTATTTATGTTGTTATAATTGTTACATTCTTTTTCACTATAAATAGGTTATATGTTTATCATTCTAAAGGAGTGACGCACGAATACGTATATCTAGTGTGAGTGAGATTATAAAAGAATAGGTTTCCACCTATCTATTATACTCTTCCATATATGTATATATATATATACTGTACTTAAGATCTAATATACTCTTCCATATATGTATATGTATATACTGTACTTAAGAGTATTTTACATATTGAGTTTATGAACAATTTGACTTGTATAGACTTTGACCTAGTCTTCATGTGATTATGCATATGGAGGAGAGTTGGGTTGTAAAGTTGATTAGTTTCATCAATACCTGCACGAAGGGAATGACTATCAACTTTAAGTCAATATGTTTACACATGTCTCAACAATCAGGCCAGTTCTTTCTTACCTATTTTATTATTGTTATTTTTGTTCTTAATTTCTATTATTATTTTAATCACATTTATTTGTCATGTTAAGTTCCTATTCATCATTGTATCTATGATGTTGAATTGATGTATTATACAGTTTTATGAAAGTATTTTATTTGATTATTCGTTATTGTTGTTGTTCATTTTTTTTGAATCATTGTGTATGAATATTGTATTTTATATAATTCTATAAATATGAGAAAATTCTACAACAGATCTTTTGTAATTATTATATATCAAACTAACTTTTTATTTTATATGCATGTATGCTAGAAAATTACCAATAATAAAATTTATATAAAAAAGAAAAAGAAAAAATTGAATAGCTTACCGGTCAAAATGAATTTTGATCTTGCCGGCTTGGAGCTTAGCGATCATGGAGAATGCATCTCGAGAAAGATTGATGGTTCCATTGCATGCGGTGCAATAATCAACAATTTTAACAGTTATGGTGTTAGTGCCCTGGCATGGATGGGGCTCAGTATTGGCAGCTCCACTGCATTTTACTTTGTAATTTCTTCCACACGCACCCCTATTTTCCCATATGCCATCGCTTGCTCCTGCAATCATCTTTCCGTTGTCCTGGTTGCCAAAGCACGCCGACGCTGCAGCAGCCCCAATACCAAAAACATTAGAGATACCCCATTTTCTCACATGTCAATCATTGATTTTGATATCAAAATTGAAACAATTTCAACTTGGGTTTATTGTTTATCCAACAAACATTATTCAGTGCATAACACGTTGATCAACTACCAGAGGGCTTAGCTATTACTATTTGGCCTAGTTTTAGTATGCCCGAATGAAATGATATATATTGAAATTTAGAGTGGGATTAATCATTTTATTGGAATGAAAATTCATTTCAAAAAATAAAAATCAATTTGGTTCATTCCAATCATTCATTTATTTGATATAAAATTTAACATTTGAAATAAAAATTAATTCCAAATTTAAAACCTAAAGGATGCTCATTCAATTCCTAAATAAAACTTTTTAAAAATAAAAAATAATCAAAATTTTAGAAAACTTCCAAATTCAAAAATCACAACCACAATGCTATCACCTTCCGCTACTGCCTTCTACCATCGCCACCATTGCTGTCATCACCTTCCGCCGCCGCCGCCACCGTCACAGTTTTCCACCACTTTCCACCGTCGTCACCTTCTACCGTCATCGCCTTCAACCACCACCACTTAGAATGGTGATTATCATTTCATTCTTACGTTATTTCATATTTACAATCAACAATATGATAAGAATAACCTTTTCATTTTATTCTCATTCCCTTCCACTTCATTTCATTTTATTTATTTGTACCAAACTTAGTGTATATTTGACTACTAGAAAGAATGTTTCAGTATTTGTTTTTCTTTTCTGGTGAATGAGTTCGAACTCAATGAGTAAATGATCTAATAAGGGTACAAAGAACCATTACTCACTCATTAAATTTTTACAAGCATGATATCCTTTTAACTCATGAATATATTCATGAACAAGATCAGATTTTACAATTTTCTGATTTGCAATATCTTTTGATTCTTTCATTTCACCTATTTGTACTAAATAATGAGCTAATGAATCCTCCTTTTGCCATTAAAATTCTCAATCAAATTCATGTGACACTCATAATGATCAACTTTACAAAGTTTTGTCGCAATAAAGACTTTAATTGTATGAGAGAGCAAACTCGATCCAAAGGACCCCAAATTTGATGAAGTTTCAGTGTCAGTGTCCTAATTAAGGAAGTTGGGAATTCGTACCACCAACTTAGATGGACTCAGGCATAAACAGATGCTGACTTGATGATTCATGCATCTGAATCACAAAACCTTACGAAAGTAAAGACACTTTGGACAACTATCGAAAAAAGAAAAAAGCAAAGGCAGTTGGATGAGATCGATACAAGTATATAGAAATGAATTCAATATTAATCCAACTCTAAACAGAACTTACGAGTATAAGGGGGATCATAGAAAGTGGCAGTTCCCTCGTCGGCATATGCAAATATCATCATCATCATCATCATCATCATCATTAAGCTCGCCATCATCAGAGACCGAATATGAACGTCCATTTTAATAATTTCTTAATTTTTTCTCTTAACAAACACACCTCAAGGAATTTACTAGTTAATTTCTTCTGCTGCTTAGAAGTTGCTCTAACTCGAAGCCAGCCTCCGCTTTTATTTATGGAAAGAACAATAAATTGATAGTTGGCGTAGGGGCAGGGAAAAGTTACATTGACCAGACTTTAAAGGGAAGACCCTTGACGCTACTGTACTTAGTCTTCCATCAACCCCTTTTTTCTACTGGTTGGTTGAACAAGCATTGAAGACCTTGACACTTTGGCACCTGCCAGTTACATACCATCTGTTGGAGGGGAGGGCTTTCATCACTGAAGTGTGAGTGAATTGAATTGAATTAAATGAAGTGGGAACGAAATGTTTGTGTTTTTATCTTTTAATTCGGTAATTAATTTTAAAGTTAAGAGTGATGATTCTTGTTCATTATCTGAAAATAGTGATTCTCACTACTTCATTTTACTTTCCAACTAAAAGAATAACCATTTCATTTCCATGTTAAAAATAAATAAATAAATAAAATAAAATAAATGAATAAAAAAAAACATTTGATAAACTGTCGGCTACACATATACATATATATATATATATATATATATATATATATATGTTTTACAAAAATAAGATATTTTCCTGTACAATCAAATATGGAAATGAGAATGGCCATCCATTCCCATTTCATTCTTTAATTCATTCCATTCCCACTTTATTTTATTCAACCACACCAAATAGAAGAAAATGGAATGGAATGAATTTTTTTTTTTCATTCTTGTTGTTGGTGCCAATTTTAAAGTTGGAATCATCATTCTACATTATTCTTGGAGAATGACCATTCTATTAAAATCATTCTATTTTTCAAATTCTACCTTCCAACAAAAGGAATGATCATTTCATTATCTTCTCATTCCATTCTTACCTCCATCCTCATTCTATTTTAATTTATTCCACCACACCAAACTAGCCCGACTCTACTAATTATAATGGGAATGAATTTGTATGAAACTATTAAATATTTTAATGTAACATTTGAGAGTACTGAATTGATGCAGAATGGAGGAATACCTAGCATCACAAAACAAAATAAAGATGAATCTAATGAGCAACTTAGCTTTGTTTTTCTAGAAACTGCAATCCAGTTGAATCTTGCACAAGGTAACCACATCAATTAATTTCATAAAAACAAAATGATCCGTGTACATGGTTTGCTTGGGCGTTTTCAATTTCATAGTCAAACACATGTTAAATTTTTAAGTATAGGTTAATATTTCGTTAGCGTAGAAAGAATAGTGTTAAATAATATTATTGGGTCGATACTGGTGTTTATCGATATCTATTATCCGTAACCTAAAGCGACAAACCTGCAGTCCAAAATTCAACGGCGGCACATAATTTTACTTTCCAATAAAAAAATAAAAATTAAAAATTTGCCAATATACAAAGGGTTCTAAATATCCTCAGAACGGAAGGCAAATATCCTACAACTACCAAATTCCAATTTCAAGCCCTTTTCGTCGTCCACAGCCTCAGCCAGCTTTCACCTTCTCTACAAATTCAATGCCGACGGACGACGACGGCAGCAAACACGACGACCACCGCCATGCTATCGTGCGCCTCAACCCCAACCCTCCATCCTCAAACGCCGCCGCCATCACCACCACCACACCATCTCCAAAACCAAACCCTAGGTTCCTCTCTTTCCTCCTCCGCGCCATCATCATGGCCCTAATCGTCTCCCTCTTCCTCCTCTTCCTCGGCGTCGCCGCCTTCGCCCTACTCCACATCTTTCTCGCCGGTCGCGCCCTCCACCGCCACCGCAACCGCAGCCGCCGCCACACCACCCCCGACGCATACTCCGCGGACGACTTGCAGAGGTTCCTTAATAGATCCAAATACGTCCACGAATTGCCCGGAACGGTGAAGGACTGCGCCGTTTGTTTGGATTCCTTCAGAGAGGGCCAGTGGTGCCGGAGCCTGCCGTCGTGTAACCACATGTTTCACGAAAAATGTGTGGACAGTTGGTTGACCAGAATGTCCAATTGCCCAATTTGCCGAACCCGCGTTCGGTTGAATTCAGGGGCGTCGGCTTCGGTGATCAGCAACGACGATTGTAACCTGTTGTGGGCTGTTGGTGTAGGGCAAAGAGGTGGCTAATTTATTATTTCCAAGAACCAGGGGTATGAAGAAATAAATGCTCCTAGTGTTGAGGGTTTGGGTGAATAAGTAAGTAAGTTTTGAAAACTTGAGTTTTTTTTTATTTTTATTTTTTATTTTTCTTCTTCTCTGTAAATGTAAACTTTTGTTTAATAGTATAATAGTCTTGAATGTTTAATTGTTGCCTGCATCTTTCCTTTGATTCATTCTATTTTTCTCATTGTTTTGATACTTTCAATATTGAATGAAGTTTTGGAGAACATTAAATGGCTAGGAAGGAAAAGAAAATTAATCAACATAGATTCAAAATTGGAAAATTTATTTCAAAACATACTAAAAGAATCATGGAATGCCCTCCTTATCCAAAAATAAATAAAATAAAATAATAAATCATGGAAAGCAATAAGCATTGGACAAAAGCAATGCATTTTTAAATACTCCGTAATTTGGTTTCTTTAAAAAATATTATTATCCTCTGTGGCCAATAGATGTGACAGACCACGGCACTAATATTTGTAATAATAATTGTTTTCTCTTTGAGGTGGTTTTGCTCTGGTAATGCGGGAAAAAAGAACAACAACAGGATGGGGGAGAGGGGGTTTAGGGAACAGCACATGAAATCACAGTTCTTTTCCATCAAGGTGTAGTCTTGTGCATGTGGTGTCACCATCTACGCGTATCATTTCTCTAAGTATTTGAATTTCTCTGTTGCTTTTTTGTGAGGCAAATTGTTGTTATAGGATTACAATGGAAGTTCAGAACTTGAGTTAGCAATGTCAAATGATTTCAGATACCTTTGGGTTTCCCCATAGTTGCCATTTTCCAATAAGTGGATCAATGTTGGCCACTTGCATTCATTTCCTTTGAGTGTAGTATAGATTTATATGCTACTCCTTTGCTGATCCGTTACCCACCCTATTGATTTCATTAGTTATACCTCTTTTCAGTGCTTAACTTTTTGTAGATGGTAGGACTTGCTCCTTGATGACAGCTTCTTTATGCTTTGTTCGGTAAGAAGGAAGGAATAGGTGTGGAGAGAAAATAGGATGGAAGAAATAAAATTCCTTTGTTCGTTAGGAAATATGAATGATACAAGAAAAGAAAGGATAATAGGAGGGATGAGTCATCCTTTTTCCTTTACAAATTTTCATCCATCCAAAAATGGGCGGAACGACAAGTGGTCTATTATAAAAAGTCTTAAATTAAATAATATCCTAAACTATACAAGTTTTAAATTACAATACTATTCTCTATAAATTACAATATTATAGATATTACTAGATATAATGGTAAAAACAATTTAAAATTTTCTTTTTCCTTCTCCCCTAACGAACATAATAAATTTTGAGCTTATTTTCTTCTGTTCCATCCAACCGAACAAAAAGAAGAAAATGTACAATCTCTTCCCTAGGTATGTTTCATCCATGATCCATCCCTTCTTCTCTCCCTTCTATCCAAATTTTTTCTTTCCTACTAAATGGAACATTAGTTTTTCATAGATTGTTGTCAATTTCTCAGTTTTGAAAGACTAATGTTTGGATTCTCGTGGCAGCTTCAGGTTATTAGTGTTGAGCCCAATGTTTGGTTATCTAGTACTAGTATTCTTAACTGGAAGCTTGTGATGTTCTCCACATGGATTGATTCTCCAATATCCAAACATTCACCTAAGGTTCACTTTGTTAGAAAAAGACGTGTAGTGACTTAATTTACGTTTATGTGCTTTGGAATAACCAATTCCCCCGTCAATCTTTTACCCTAGAATAATCACTAGAGAATGGAAAACCATATGTGGCCAAAATAACTGATATAGCTCAAATTGTCACGAGGATGAATGCGTAGGGAAAAAAAAAATCAAATGGAAAAAGAAGTGCGCCAAGTGAAGTTCACCACCCTAGAACCACAGCCTTCTTTGGTAATTCTTGGAAGACGCCTTCAGATTCACAATTAGAAATAAATTGGACGGTCATGGTGTCAAACTTGCTTCCTATGTTTCTTTCTCTCTATGGCGTTGAGTGCTCCTCTAGCATCAGCACTCAAATTGACAGACTTATTGCCTAGGTGGCACTTGTGAACAAGGACCCGATGGCTATGAAGTCACTGAAACTATACAGAAAGGTATGTTAAAGATGTCGCACATTATCTGGTGTTGCAATTGGAAGTCCTGGTTTTGTCATGTGTCGGTATACTGAATTTCTTAGTGGCTACAATTTCCTCTTCATTGAAAGCTTAAGCAGAAACGCATTGTGCCCAAAAGCTATGTTTTTAACTATTAGAGGAAGGTGGAAAAAGCTTATCATGTCTAGCTTTTGTATGCACTGATCTTTTCGTCTGTAATGGCTCTTTTCTTGATCTTACCTGGGTATATCTCAGTCCATCGTGGTCACTCTGGGCACATCTTGTTTTATGTTATGTTTATGTCACCCCTGTTTAGATCTTGGACCTAGTGATTTGAATCGTACAGGATGATTGCTGTGGGCTATAGGCTATTGACAGAGCCAGAGAGCCCGTGAAAGGAAAAAAGGCTTCAAGGTTCTGCTCTAGTACTGCTCTTACCCTTGATTATTGGAATCATGCATACGACATCTTTTGCCATGAAGAAGAAGAATGACAAAGTAACTTTGTTGAAGTCGTGTAAATGGAATCCAAAGTGAACCACAAAGGAATAAGTTCAATCAGACATCCAAACTTGATCTTTATAGTACTTTTCTTCCTTATTACAAAGTCAATAAATAAATATCTTAGTCACTTATGTTGCTGTTACCAACACACTTATATTACTATTGTAATATTTGGCTCCTTAACTTTTATAATGTTAAATTAAAATTTTCTAAAAAGCAGGCATAAATACTACTGGATGTAGCATGATCTGTGTATACTATGATGTAGGAGGAATTGCATAACATGAGATGAAAAGTAATTACTTTGAGCTGGACCATGACAATCATATTCAATCTAGGGGATGAAACTTAGAGGAGACAATATTTAAGACTTCTGGAACCAAACAGGATCCCTTTTGATACGTGGGATAGTGAACCAGCCAGTTTCCCTTTTTGGATGCCCTGCTGTTCATTACAGATTTGATTTGCATGTGAAAATTATTAAATTGTGATTTATATCCCGTACGTATTTTGTGGTCATAATTTTTTATTTTATTTAAATCTTTTCATGTGTTATAATACAATTGATATATATGTATTTTGGTATGGCCTCCGTGGTTGTTTCCAGTATGATCATTTCTGATTCTCCTAGTGAGCCAACTTTGACAGAAATTTCCTTTACCCAAAATAATAATAATAACAGAATTCATGGATATGAAGTTCTTTTGAGGGGAAAGGAAACACCAGGATTAAATACTCCTACTTTGAAAAGCAGGCTCTTAATCAATAAGTATAAAATTTATTGACACTTTTTCAGATCTATACAGAAACCTCCTACAGAGTACAGACTGACAGATAATTTTTAGTTTGCATACTTTCAATCAGCTTAGGTACACAGAACCCTTTTAGTGACTGGTTTTTATAGGAAGAATCTCTCTCTCTCTCTCTCTCTCTCTCTCTCTCTCTCTCTCTCTCTCTCTCTACTTCTAGGTGACAGAAATGAACATCTGCATTCCTTTTCTACATTACAAATGCAACGCTGAAACCAACAGAATCGACAATGCATAAGGTCTTTCTAACGGAGTCCCCATTAATGGATGCATAAGGACTTTCTAAAATGTTGGGAGTGTTTGTTCATCACACAAAAATGTATGAACTTTTACACGTGTGATAATGTTTGTTAGTTCACAAAATCTTCTTCTTACGATCCTTGTGTAAAGTTTATGCTGATTTCTCCATATTTGGAAGTGCTGGCTTTAATACCATGTGAAAAAAAAGGGTTTGATTTGCCATTAGAAAAATAAAGAAGAAATTAACAATCGACTTAATTTAACTTATCCAAAACATTCACCCTAGCTTCACTTTGTTTGGCTCAATCGTTACCATCTAAGCTGATTATTCAATTCGTAATCCACCTTTGAGATAATCTACTCCTTTGTCAGTATTTTACCCTAGAAGTAATCACCGGAGAATTGACAAACATATGTGGCCAAAATAACCACTATAAATACTCAATTAATCTGTCATGAGATGAATATGCAAAAAGTAATCAAATGGGGAAAGAAATGAGCCGAGCGAAGTTCATCATACCAGAACCTCAACCTTCTTTGAGCATTGTTGGGATCCTCCGGGAAGCCCTCAAAGTTACCATTAGAAATGGGAAGGTCATGATGTCAATCTTGCTTCCTGTGTTTATTTCTCTCTCTCTATTGGCAGTGGGTGCTCATCTAGCATCAGTGCCGATATTGACAGATTTATTGTCCAAGATGGCACTTGTGACCCAGGAAGAGGAACCAGTCAGGGGTGAAGTTGCTGAAACTTTGGGGCTAGGTATTGTTAAAGATGTTCGGAGGTTGCTGGTGCTGCAATTGGTAGTGCTGGTTTTTTCATGTGTCGTCTTACTGAATTTCTCGGTGGCTACAATATCCTCTTCTTTTGAAGCCTACACCGGGAAAATCTTGAACCTTAAAGATATGCTTTTAACAATCAGAAAAAGTTGGAAAAGGGCCATTGTCACTACTTTTTTTATGACAATCATCTTTTTGTCAATCATGGCACTCATCTTGATCTTACTCGGGTTTGTCTGGGTGATGAGTAAGGGTGTTTATCTGATTCTTCTAACCGTTGCTGTGGTCATTCTAGGCACATGTTGTTATGTTTATATTGCCTCTGTTTGGATGTTGAGCATGGTGGTTTCAATAGTAGAAGATGATTCGAGTGGGCTAAGGGCCATTGACAGAGCTGGAGAGCTCATGAAAGGCAAAAGGATTCAAGGTTGTGTCATAATGCTGCCCTTAACTCTCATTATTGGAGCCATTTATAGGACACCTTTAGGCATGATCGAAAAGATTGACAAAATTACTTTTACACCTATGATCATCAGGATTGCTGGCATTTGGTTAATCTGTGTGGTGAAACTCTTCATGTTTGTGGTGTACAGTGTCTTCTACCATGAATGTAAAAAGGCTAAAGATGAATTGGGTTGGTATGCTCCTGTTGCTCCTGAAGAAGCTTAGTTAGTGAATTCATCATCCTATCCTACATGTTGGGATGAGATGAACCAAATTGTGAAAGAGTCACTTAAATAATGAATCCCAAGTCAACCACAAACTTGGTCATATAATACTTTCTCTTCCTGATATCCATGTCAATGAATAACAATCAATCTAGTGTTGTGATTCACTTGTGCTGATGTTATAACTTTCTTTACATTGCCGTTGTTAATTGAGTGTGTGAGTTTCTGGGCCATGTTATTTATATAAACATGCTTTAATTGTGATTTATGTATATACTAATTGCATAACATGAGATGATAATTTTGGACAAACAAGCAATGGAAGGATGATGCATGATTGTGCCGAACAAGCAATGGAAGTTCAATATTTTAAACCCTACTTGGTTTATGATCGCTTTGGATTGAGTTTTCAAACATTGAGTTGCCTCTGAATTGACTCCTCAACCAGTGTAACATGTGAAAATGACACGATGGATTCGGCTAGTACAAGAATGAACGCTAACCCAACCTATGTTATCACCTATGTTATTGGGTCAATTTTTTCACATCCACGTCTTTTATTTTCGAACTGAGCCCACGTTGGAGAACCAAGCTAAAAATTAGGTTAATCTCAAGTTCATATTAGATTATTTGACATTTTACATTGACATCACACGAATTAGGTCAAATTTTATTTTTAATTTTTACTAACAACTCAAATTATGTTTTAGGCTTTGACACATGTGAATTGATTTATTTACTCTTATTTTTTTAAGAAAAAAATAAATTTAAATAACAAAATACAAAACCCACACCGGCCAAATCACTCCCTCTCTTTCTCTCCCTAACTATTTACACAAACATTGCACTTTTTTGTTTTGTTGTTATTATTGAAGATGATAATGGAAGGCTTAAGGTCACCTTAACGGCTTAGTAGCTGCATTGAAAAGGTTGTCATATAGATAAAAGTATATATATATATATATATATACACTTAGTTAAGTCATTGAAACAAAATGATCACAAAGTTAAAAGGATAATATTATCATTTTACATGCAAAAGTGTTCTAACGCCATTGAAAAATGATTTTTGGGGTGCGAGTAAAATAAGGATTAATGGAAAGGACATGAATCAAAGATCTCATTAATATATCTCGGGCATAGCTGCCTTCGACTTCGACAATACTAAAGTCACAGACAAAACCCCCTTTCTAAGGCTTCGAATCAAAGCGAATTCTCAAATCACTTCCATTTCAAAGAGTAGAGAAGTCTGATCAAGAATGCTTTTCGGAGAAGTCTCCATTCATACTTGAAAATTTTAGTTGGAGCTCTACGCCTTTGGCACTCGTGTTTCTGTTACGTCACTTTTAACAAAATAGTCTTGGACGCTCTTAGCGCGTGGTAGCTTAGCTACAAAACTCTTCTTGGACACTCTTAGCGCGTGATAACTTAGCTGCAAAACTCTTCAAAATGTGAGTGAACATTAAAAACAAAATATGATATCGAGCTAATATGAAGAGGTGTCATTGTAATTTGTCCAAAATTATTCTTAAAGCATAAAAAATTACAAATAAATTCCCAAGAAAATACTTAAGCAAAACATTAATATACAATAAATTAATATTTAAATGATATGAAGTTGAAAAGTAAAAGGTAATCACAATTTGAAATATATATAATATATTTAAAATTTAAAAATATATTGGAAGTAAAATTAAAATTTGAGTTTAAGTTAAGCTTTCATGTTACCGGCACTCTAATTAAGTTCAAGTTGAAAATTTTCAATCTAAATTTAACCCTTATTAAAAATATAATTATCCAAACTAAAAAATAAAATTAAGTAACGAGAATGCCGATAGAAAATACATCACTTGTATGATTAGTCATTCAATTTTGCATTTAAATTTGCAAGAAACCTCTCATGTTATACAAGTTATTATAAATTAATGTTGTCCCCTTGTGTTCGGATTTAAAAATGTTGTAGGAAGTCTCTTTCACCCATCAAAATATAACATTTTAAATAATTTACGATTTATTATTATTATTTTATTAATTAACCTTTATTATTATTATTATTATTATTATTTATCTTTGACAATAATCTCCATTTATAGTTGTTATGGATAGGATAATAATTATAACGTCAGAGAGAGACGAGACGAGACGAGACGAGACGAGAGCTGAAGAAGGAAGGATGATGATGGTGTCGTCCTCATCAGCACTGCCGAATCCCATCATCGACGGCGCTATTTTCTTTTCTAATCATCACCATCATCACCCTGCAACAACAATCTTTAAGTAAGATGCTCCTTTCCCTCTTTCCTTTTTTTCACCGTTTCATACTTTTCTTCACCCATTGTTTGATTCCTCGAGAATGAAATAAACACAACAATAAATGCAATTATGCGATCTTATGCATCTGTAATCTTGCACAAACCATTTGTGGTCAAGTAGATTGGATTTAGTGTTTGCACCACAATATCATTACAACTCTAATGGTTTGCGACTTTTTACAAGGAAATATATTTCGCACATTCCATACTCCGAGTTTCTAATTTCCTAGATTGGGATTCTCATTTAATTCATGCTATGCACTTACGTTTCCCCACCAATAATCACAAAAATGGTTCTGGTTGTGGTATGCAAATTTTGAATCTACTCAAATTTTAGGATAAATTTACAACCGACACTGTTATATGTATGTCAAATTTCTTCAAAATGGAAAAAGAAGACAGACCAAACCCAAGGTGGAATTGTGTGTAGAAAGAAACCCAAGGGGGTTCAAGCCTTCTAAGGCAATTGTAAGCGACTGTCAGCATCTGTATTAGTAACATAGTCTCTCTCTACCCTCATCTTCTCTCTCTCACAGACAAAAAGTGAGAGAGGGGGGGGGATAAACTTAGGAGAAAGTGAGGAGAACTCATAATGCAGTAATTTCTTTAATTTCATTTGGGTCTTACTCTTATCTCTCCTACTTTATCATCTATGTACTCATACATCCCTAGGAAGCCTCCTTCTCAAAAAGAAAATTTTCTTCAGAAAGAAGAAGAAAATTTAACATGGATCTGCAACCTTGACTACTAGTTTGCCAAAATTTCAATTGACTACTCAAAATATCATGTTCTCATAGCTAACTTGTTTTAAAACTTAGGTCTGTAATACTAATACCAAAGTTTGGGTCTCTCCTTTATGTTTTCACTTTTCAATATGGTGATTTTTAAAATTTGTTGCATTATAATAAAAGGAATGCATCTGTGGGAAGTTAAAACTTTAAATTGACAACTATTGAAGACCAAAGTAACCACAATAAACCAGCCTATCTGCAATCGAGTGATGTGACTCATGGATCCAAGCTAACGTAAATCTTAGAGAAGTAGAAATTTAAAAACTGGTTTGATTTCAAGCTGGAACCCATTTAAGACCTGTTGAAATCAAGTTTTAGTTTGAATGGTCTTATTTTACATTTAGGTTAATCTGTTGATTATTCAGTTACATTTATATTTCATAAACTTTTGGAGTCAGAGGTATATTTGTAATATCTATATTTGCTGGGTATGGTAGTAGGATCCATAGGTTATATCTGGATTATGATTAGGTTTTTATATGGTATTTACTTATCAACTAAGTAGCATAGACACGGACACAATACGACACGGATACATAGCACGTCAAATCCTAAAAAATTAGGTCATTGATACAACATAGACACGACAATATCTGAATATAAATTTTCATTTATATACTTCTATTCAATAACACTATTATAGAACTTTAATTAATTTTTAATTCTATACTAAAGGTGTTGTTTTGAAAAAATTGAAAATTTTAAGAACTAAAAATTTTAAGAACTGAATTTTAAGTACTGAACTTTTTAAGCGGTGATTAAAAAATATATGTTTTAATATCTTTTTAAATTTCAGCGTTGAGCATTCATTGATAAGTGATGTTCCTGTCATTTAAAATTTTGCCCATTTTAAGTGGCGCTTGCCGTTTTACATTCAAATTGTGTTATCAAATGCACTTAATTAGATAAGCGCTTAATCCGTTCAGAATTAAGCTCTTAATTGAGTTATCAAATGGCACCTAAGAGTTACTCATATATAATTTTAAAGATGAAGTTATGCGAATATTGTAATGATTGTTATATCATATATGCTACTGTTTCACTACTTTGTCATGACAATTATGTTTTTGTCTCGTATAAAAATGTATCATGGTATGTTTGATTTGTGACCATGCCTATATTATCAATTTTTTCTTAAAGAAAGAAAGTTTGACACTTTGAGTTGTGTTCATATTATTTCCAAGATTGCCGAACATGGTTATTCTAGATGTGTGTGTGTTAAATAAGAATTGTGCTAGGAATTCTCTGGAAGTCTAGGCCAGGCGTCCTAGAAGTGTCAACAAAGTGTCGGCTAAGTGTCCAAAGTGTTTAAATAAAATGTTAAATTATGGATATGTGCCTAAGGAGTGTTCGTGAAATTTCGGTGTTCGACACATGTCCAATGCGAATACAGCCCCTTAAAAGAATTTGTGCTTCCTAGCTTGACGGACGTGTCCAGGAGTCAAAACTCTTTAAGTTTCTGATTTCAAGTCATAGTCTTTGCAAAATTAGGTTAAGTCCAACAGCCTATATATGTATTCTATCTTTTTTTCCTTGGTAGGTAAGATACATTGGCCTACTTGTCGCCATTGAAATTTGAACCTTCAACATCTGCTCTTGAAGGTGGGGGAATTGATGTTAAAGCTTATGTTTAGTGGCATTTATGTATTTTTCAATTCAATAGACATCAGTTTACTAAATTTTCATAAGCTTCTCTAATTTTTTGGGGATAGCAATGCAAATCTAGTTATAGGTGTCATACCTATGGAAATTCATCGAGTAATTCCTTGAGTTTCTTCTTTTTTCTATTCCTACTAAAATCCAATCACCATAAATCACTGCAAGAATATATGTTTTAACTCTCCTTTTACTTTTACAATTTATATTTAACAAGCTCAAACACTTTGTTCCCTTAAACACTGGACCAAGACACCCTAAATCATGAAAGCTTGCGTTTAGGGGAACTGTTCTCAGAACCTAAAACTGCCCTTAAACTTTCCCTTTTCTTGCCCAAGTATAACCCCAAATCTCTACTCCTTTCTAGGGCTGGCTCTGCCTTAAGGCAATTAAGTCAGTCGCCTAGAGCCTCGTACAAAACAAGGGATTTAATAGATTTTGATTTGGACCTCACTATAAAGTGTTTTTTTCTACAAATTCACATGTGATAAGTGTGTGTGTGTGTGTGTGTGTGTAACATATAAATACATAACTTTTTAAAAAACGAAGGAGAAAATGGAGGAGAAGATAATGAATTAGAATTTAAAGGTCAAAACTAAGGAGAAAGTATTTGATTTTAATTATATTAATGTTAAATATTAAAAAATGTCCCATATAAAGGTTTTGCCTTAGGCCTCACTAGTTTTATAGGACTGATCCTGGTAATCCTCCTCAATCATGGATGTGGAATTAATTGGCAATTTGGCATCTCTAATGAGAGGTACATCTCCAAACCTTTGCTTGATTCAAAGGGGAATAACTCACTAAAAAGGGCACGCATAAATATCCTTACTTATTGAGACCCATGATCTGAATTCAAGTAGCAATTCTTTCTGAAGTGGAAGATGTCAGTCACATAGTCTAGGCCTGCTCTGCCAATCTGTATGTGCTTGTTATTGGCCCAAGTAGCTTATTAAGCCCAGGTCAAAATCCAAGTTATTAAAATTACATAGACAAATTATATTTTATTGAGTTTATTGAAAGTTCAATTGTCTTATTTAGTATGAAATTATTCATAGAGTACTTTTTGAATGTTCGATTTAATTTCTTAGAAACTAAGTACCTCATGCGCTGATGTATAGGTTCAATGTATGTCTAACTTTAAATATTTAATAAATAAATGGAAAAAAAGAGGAGGTAGGCAATATTTGCAGTCCAAAAAGCATCCCACACTCCAAAATATATTATAATTATAGATACCATATAACAAGGAGTGGAGTGCAGGAAACTACGTGGAGTTCGATTATCTCCCGAAAGGGAGTTGGGTATCCTATTATTTGATGAAAACATGACCTCACTTGATTGGAGATTCACGAGTTATCTTTAAATTTTCCAGGGCAGCCAAGAGGCTTTATATTTTAGTTTTTTGCAACGGTGACTGCAGACTTGCTGTGTTGTTTTCTTTGTGTCCTAATCATTTATTTTTCTTTAAATTTTCTGCCTTTTCAGATGGGGTTTGAGAAGAGAACAAGATGCCAGACTGGTTACTCGTAGAGCAGAGGCTCAGGCATTTCGTGTCTTGGCCAATCCTAATGTATGCATTACTCAAGGCTTCCACATGTATAATGATGGTATATTTGGTTTGAATATGCTCAAAGATATGTTTAGGTATGTGATGTGATTGGTGATTTACAATTTTTTCCATAAAAATTGGCATTTGTAGTGGGAATTTTATTAAATTGAATATACTTCTAAACATTATCGCCATGAAAGCAGGAGAGAGTTTAAGTGAGAGTGCTGTAAATAAATTTCTCGTGCGTTTAACTGTAAATTTGTAATAAGGTTGAGGTGGGAAAAGGGTGAGAAAACAGAAAATTTAGAATCTTAAAGAAGATTAACAGGTTGTTTGGGTTATTATAAATAAATTGGACTAGGGACATGAAACTCTGCAGCATGGACAGTGTTACAAGTACAGTATAGGAGTACTACGTGATATAGGCACGTTGACACGGTAATTCTGAAAAAATAGGATAGTGATGAAACAAGGACATCACATTATATAGATATATTTATGTATGTCCACATGCATATATTTGGCAATGTATGTAAACACTAAAGGAGTATTTTGTCTTAATATATACGTGTACATTTTTAGAAAATAATTATTTCTGTTATGAATCTATCTATATTTTAAGTTTTTGCTTCTAATTGTAGAATGCACATGAGACAACAGAGGTTTATGCTGCATGGATATGGATCCAGGAATGAAATTCGGCCTAATTTAAAGAACCGAATAGTAATTGCCATCGCTGAAAAATGGACTTAATGTTCACCTGTTACTGAAGCTTTATCTTAAAGCATATGGCAAGGCAGTCACTAGCCTTCACCGAAAGTCCATGGCTAGCACTCGAGTCTCTATAACTCTGTGTTACAATCACAAGGGACATATAAAGAAGTTGCAAGTTTTCCTTGGCTGTTATCCTTCTATTTGTGTACTTTACTATTTCGTTGCATAGACTTGCAAGTTATACAGTGAGTTTCCATCTCTGCTTTGCTTATCATGTGTTTCTTTCCACTAATGGATACACTCTTCTCCTACCATATAGGTGTCTCGAGGAGGAGATTCAATCAAGGAGGTGATCATGGTTGATCCTTTGGAAGCCAAGCGGTTAGCTGCCAAACAAATGGGAGAAATTAAAGCAAGAGAGAAATTCAAAGTGAGAATCCTGTCTTCATGAATAATTTTTGCTCTAAGTGATGCTTGTAAGCAATAAGCCAAGCAAGCATATCTTGTGAAGATGGTGAATGTAAAATGGCGGTTAGCTGCCAAACAAAGGGGAGAAATTAAAGCAATATAGAAATTCGAAGTGAGAATCCCGTCTTCATGAATAATTTCGCTCTAAGTGATGCTTGTAGGCAATAAGCCAAGCAAGCATATCTTGTGAAGATGGTGAATGTAAAATGGCGGTTAGCTGCCAAACAAATGGAGAAATTAAATTGAAAGAGAAATTCAAAGTGAGAATCCCGTCTTCATGAATAATTTTCGCTCTTGATGCTTGTAAGCAATAAGCCAAGCAAGCATATGTTGTCAAGATGGTGAATGTAAAATGACTTTTAACATAATGTTTGGTTCAAGAAATCATTGGTGTCACTGGAACATATGACTGCAAAGTACTGGACCTGTCACAAAAATCATTGGAAATAGCTATAAATTATCCCTAAGTAATTGAAGAATGTTGACAAATTTTTTAAGTTTTGATCTTGTGGCGCAAGTCAACATTTTCTCGAAAAAGAAGATGAACTTGGTTTTTTTTTTTTCCTAGTTGGTACTTAAACACACATGCCTCTACTGAGGGTCGAACCCCTAACCTCTCTTTGAGAAGTAGGAGCTTGGTACCGCTAGGCCATTAGCCTGTTGGTAAGATGAACTTGGTTTCATTTCCATGGGAGACTGAACCAATAAATTCTGTCAAACGTTTGTCTTATCTATGATCTTGTCGCACCCAATGCTATTGGAGGAGGGCTTCCGTTGGGTTTTTTCTGGTGTTTATAGGCCTACGAAGGACAGTGTGCGCCATTTGCTCTGGGAGGAGCTGGGGGTTTTAGAAGGAGGTGGTCGTTTCCATGGTGTGTTGGAGGGGATTTCAATATTGTTCGCTCTCCTTTTGAGAGATCGACGGGGGGTAGGTGGACGTCAGATATGGAGTCCTTCTCAAAATTTATTGATGATTCTGGGTTGATTGATCTACCCTCGGAGGGTGGTCCATTTACGTGGTCGCTCTCCCCCTACTCTCTCTCGGCTTGACAGATTCCTTGTGTCCGGGGATTGGGAGGAGTTTTCTGATGTGATCCAGGCTACTTTGGCCCGTCTTATCTCTGACCATATTCCGTTGATGTTGGATTATGGTGGTTTGCGTAGTAGACGCTCTCCTTTCAGCTTCGAGAATATGTGGCTTCGGGGTGAGGGCTTTCTCCAGAGGGTCTGTATTTGGTGGGGGGGTTATGGGGTGGTTTGCACTCCAAGTCATTCTCTTGCAGGTAAACTGCGGCTTTTAAAGGAGAGTATCAAGATATGGAACAAAGAGGACTTTGGAAATCTTGAGTGGAGAAAGAATCGGGTTTTTTCTGAGATTGCTACCATTGATCGGATGGAGGGTTAAGGGGTCTTGGTGGATTCCTTGAAGGCTAGAAGGGTGGAGTGTCTGGCAAAGTTTGCTGAGATCGCTATCATGGAGGAGATTTCGTGGAGGCAAAAATCTCGAGCCTTGTGGCTTAAGGAGGGTGACAGTAACACGAAGTTTTTTCATAGATTGGCCAACACTCGTAGAAGGGGCAGTCATATTGGGAGGATTCGGGTTGATAGGGAGTTGTTTTGTAAGGAGGAGGAGGTTTGTAAGGGCATTGCTGAGTTCTATACGAAGTTGTTCACAGAATCTGCTGGATGGAGACCCTTGCTTGAAGGGCTTCAGTTTGACTCTATTTCTAGTGAGGAGTGCTCCGGTTTGGAGGAGCCTTTTTCTAAAGAAGAAGTCCTGTTTGTTTTGAAGAGCTGTAACGGGGATAAAGCCCTAGGGCCTGATAGGTTTACAATGAGATTCCTTTTGGAGTGTTGGGAGGTGGTGAGAGGGGAGGTTATGGGCACTTTTCAGGCTTTCCATTCTCAGGGTTCTTTTGAGAAGAGCTTGAATGCCACTTTCATTGTTTTCAGTCCGAAAAAGGGAAGGGGGGGTGGGTAATGTTAGGGATTTTCGCCCTATTAGCCTAGTGGGGTGCATTTACAAGTTGATTGCCAAGGTCCTTACTTCTAGGTTAAGGAAGGTTTTGGACGGTGTCATTTCTAACGCTCAGAATGATTTTGTGGGAGGCCATCAGATTCTAGATTCAATTCTTATTCCTAGTGAGTGTGTGGATTCCAGATTGAGCAGCGAGGTCCCGAGAGTTCTATGTAAGTTGCACATTGAGAAGGCTTACGATCATGTGAATTGGAGCTTCCTTATCTACTTGATGAAGAGGATGGGATTTGGTGTTCGTTGTAGGAAATAGATTCATTTCTGTATTTCCAGCGCCCGTTTCTTTATTTGTTAATGGTGCTTCGACCGATTTTTTCTCTAGCTCGAGGGGTTTCAGGCAAGGTGATTTGCTTTCCCCTTTTTTGTTCCTTTTTGTGATGGAGGCCCTTAGTAGATTGACGAGTAGGGCCGTGGAGTTAGGTTTTCTGAGAGGTTTGGAGATTTCCCACCTGATGTTTGCAGATGATACTCTGGTTCTTTGTGATGCGAATGTGTCCCAGCTTAGATATCTGAGATGCATTTTGATCTGGTTTCAAGTTGTCTCCGGCCTTAAGGTGAATGTTGGGAAGAGCATTTTGGTGCCAGTTGAGATTGTGATGTTTGTTGATATTGTTGGTTGCCGTATTGCCTTTTTCCCTATCTCTTATTTAGGGTTGCCCTTGGGTGTTCCTTCAAGGTGTGTGGGGGTTTGGGACCCTGTTGTGGAGAGGTTTGAGAGAAGACTGGCGGGTTGGAAGAAGCAGTATCTTTCCAAGGGTGGCCGGGTTATGCTGATTAAGAGCACCCTGTCTTCCCTTCCCCACTTTTTTTTTTTTTTTCTCTCTCTATTTCAGATTCCCTCTTCTGTGGTTGAGAGACTCGAGAGGTTGCAGCGTAATTTTCTATAAGGGGTAGAGGAGAGGAGTTCAAGTTTCATCTGGTTCGGTGGGAGCAAGTGTGCAGGCCGATTCGGAGTGGAGGTTTGGGGTTTAGAAGAATGGTGCCTTTCAATAAATCTCTTCTTAGGAAATGGCTGTGGAGATTTGGGGTGAAGAGGCATTGGCTTTGGTGGAGGGTTGTTGCTAGTAGATTTGGGGAGAGTAGAGGTGGGTGGAGCTCTCTGGAGGTTCACGGTCCAAGGGGAGTGGGTTTGGAAGTCCATTCGGAAGGGGTGGGTTGATTTCTCCAAACATGTTCGCTTTCGCCTCTGGGATGGTAGGAGGATCAGTTTTTGGGAGGATGTCTGGTGTGGGGACCTTCCTCTGGCTATTGTTTTTCCTCGTCTCTTCAGGATTGCTTCGGATAGGCAGGCTATGGTAGTCAACTGTTATCATCTTGATAGCGGGAGCCTATTTTGGGATGATTGATTCAGGTGACATTTTCAGGACTGGGAGATGGAGGATGCCATTCGTTTTTTGGAGTTGTTGTATCGCTAGGGGATTAGGGTAGGAGCTTCTAATTGTTGGATTTGGGCTTCCAACTCTAAAGGTCGTTTCGAGGTTCAATCCTTTTTCAGGTGTCTCACGGAGGAGCCTGGAGGTCCTTTCCCTTAGAAGTTTGTTTGGCGCTCAACGGCTCCTCTCAAGGTGGCCTTCTTTGCTTGGACCTCGGTTTTGGGAAATATTTTAACCTAGGACAACCTAAGAAGGAGAAATTAAGTGGTGGTTAATCGTTGTTATATGTGCCTTCGAGATGAGAAAACAGTGGATCACCTTCTTTTACACTGCACCATGGCCAAGGAATGTTGGGACTTGATGTTTGGTCTTTTTGGGATTCTCTAGGTGATGCCTAGATCCGTTAGAGGGCTGATTGAGGCTTGGAGAGGCTGTTTTGTGGAGGCTCATATTCGGGATGCTTGGAGGGCTACGCCTCTTTGTGTTTGGTGGTGCTTATGGCTTGAGAGGAATATGAGATATTTTGATGGGAAGGAGATGCACATTTCTATTATTCAATTCTATATTCTTTCCACTCTTTTTTGTTGGGTTTCAGGGAGAAATTATAGATCTATAGAGGAGATTATTGTTTTTTTTTGGCCTCTTTGAAGGCTTGAGGCTCTTGCTAGCCCTTTGTTCTTCTCTTGGGATACGCTCCCCTTTTGATCGCTTTCTATAAAATTTTACTTATCAAAAAAAATAAAAATAAAAAAAAATAAAATTGCTATTGAATCAACCAAAGTAGGTTGAATTAGGAAACAAGAATAGTGTCCGGAGAGAGAACATTTACCTGAAGTTTGGTAACAGAGCAATGCACCAGAAAACAATTTTATTCCTAGCTCAGAAGATACTGCTCTAGGTTAAATTTTGGATATGTTGGGAAAACACTTTTTTATTCATTTATTTGGTTTTATTGTGGGATTTGAATTCTGTTTGTGAATCAGAGGACGAAACGAAAAGGTTTTTTTTTTTTTTTTTGGTAGAGATTATTGTCTTGTGGTTATTGTGTGGATTAATAACCCAAGCTCTTGTATACTATGGCATTCGTATCATGCAGTGGCCGGTGAGGCACAGAAGCTAGTAGGGAAGCCACACAACACACTGCCTATTTATGCTTCTCTTTTAAGATATAGATTATCGTCATCTTTTTTCGCCTTCTGTTTATTCAAATCAGTTTGGTTACTATCCTCTCTGGTGAATGATTTTATTGCAGAGAAAACGCCAAATTGAAGCGATTAATGGAGCATGGGCTATGATTGGTCTCACGGCAGGCTTAGTCATTGAAGGCCATACTGGAAAGAGTATTCTGTCTCAGGTAAGGTCACAGTAGAGCATGTCTTGCGTGTGTATTTGAGATTGAGAGAGAGAGAGAGAGACGTGATTTTTGTGATGGCAACCCTTTTCTTCCTTACAGGTGGCTGGATACTGGGAGACGATAGTCAGTTTCTTTGTACGGTAGATATCTCCTGAATGTGGCAAGCTTGGAGGAGCTGCTGATTCATAACTGAGTCATTCTTTAAATTGGAGTTGTAAGATCTTTCAGACTAGCAGTTGTTCCTTTTGTTTAGTTCACATTGATTGTAGCATATGTTTAGTAAGGCTTCACAGATTTTTACAGCTATTTTCCTGGACTGACTCTCAAACATTACACTAATGAAGGATAATAGATTTATTTATTTATTTTTTTTTTTTTTTTTTTTTGGGGGGGAAAAAGGGGTATTTAATCAAGTTAAGAGTGTTGCATTCTTGTTTGATGGTTTGATTCTGGTCTTTCGAGTTTTACAATTAAACCCTAGTATACACAACTAACTTGGAAATATTGATGGCAAATGGGATTATGTTATCAAATTGTTGTACTACTCTCTACCATCACATTTCTCAACTATTCTTTTCTATAGATATAATGATATATTTTTTATATAAAAAAAAAAATGAAAACTATTTCACATAATTTTATATGTTTCTTGGTACGTCTATACAAATAAATAAATATATACATGTGCAACACCTGCGAACCAATATAACAACCGCAGCAACTGTCAATCTATCAACGACTATTCAAAACTTATATTCTATTGGATTTTATGGAAACCGAATGGTTGCAGTGGTATAAAATTGGAAGGCCAACTCTGGTAAAGTCCTGCTTTTGTTGTATTCTGAGGATGAAAGATGTGGTTGCTAATGTTGTATCAATCATTTGCTAATTCTGCTCATCATTGCAGCTTGTGTTCCCATCTTTGCTGTCTAACAACAAAATGCAGAATCTTGTAAGGAGAATGCAAATCTGGTCGACAAAAATAGCAATGAAACACCAACAAGAATTCTCTCTTTAGCGAAAGGTTTAATAAATAAATAAATAAATAAATAAATAAGGAAGAAGAAGAAGGAAGTTTAGACTTGGAAATGGGATCTGTTTGATATAAGTAGATGGGGAGAGTGGGATTTAGTTTTATAGTGTGAGTGCAGTATATGAATTGAGTTAGTTGGTGCTAATCAAGATTAGAGCTAATTTTGGAAAGTGTGGGTTTTTCGTTCTTTAATGTTTTGTGCCTGCTTGTATTGTTTCAAGAGAGGTTCTGGGCTTAATAAAATGTTGGATGTAGGGTTGCTCCTTTTGTTGGAATGATTATACTATGAAATTTGGAGTTTTTTGTATTATTTTTTCTTCATTATTCGTATTATGATTATGATTATGATTATTTTACGCTTATCCATTTCATGAGTATTTGTATTTACCTAATCCGTTGTGGAGTTGTTTTCTTTGACTGTTAGGCTTAAAATGAGAGACCCATTCAGCAGAAATGAATTAATTTTACACAAAACAAGGAGAAGTAATTTTGATACTGAATTAATTCACTAAAACAAGGTCCATTGGATCATTGACATCAACCAGTAGATTCATTCTATCACCAATCTTAACATACTCCAATCAATAGGGTTACAATCTGCATAGGGTCCATGGTTGGCACTTGGTAGTAGTGGTTACTTGAAGACTTAAAGACACACATTACCTCCCCACTGAAAAAGTTGAAAGAAAACTCTCACTCTCCCACAAGTTTCTTTTAACTTAGTACCACCAAACAAGTTTAGTGGGAATGTCATGGGGATTTAATACAAACAACAGTCACGTTTTACAAATAACCACCACTATTACTCTTATTTATACTATTATTAAAAATATAAAGGGTTTTAGTATTTCAGTAATTAATTTATTTAATAATATAATAATAAAACGTAATAATAATATAGTAGTAAGAAATACTGATATTTCAATAAACGAAAATTTAATCAGAGAAGAAAATATATAATATTAAACTATTAAAATTTAATTTAAAAAATTATTAACATATATATAATTTATTTAAATAAATACATAACAATAATTCTATATCAGACAAAAATGAAAAGTTACATCCAGGTTTTAGGATTAAATGTTTCCGGTTCTGTTTCCACGCCTTGTAATTCATCGATATAGTCTTGTACTTCCTCAACAGCTAATTGAAAGCTAATTATCTGAACTATTCTTGCCACGTCGTATTGCTGAGGCCTATACACTTTTGTCATTGTTTGACTGTTACACAATACTCGAAACCACTGGGGCATAAGAAAGTGAATCCGCATATGAATTTAACAATAATGCTTCATTTGAAAGGATGGAAGAGGGATGGAGGAATATTGAACGGAAGAAATAAACTTTCTTTGTTTGGTAGGGAGAAGGTAAGGAGAGAAGAAAAAAGTGGATGGATGAATTATTCGGGAGCAAATCTTCTAAAGTCATTCTGTCCTATTGTCCCATGTGGTGCACATTACTTGGCCTATATTTGGCCACGTCCTTAGTTGTTTAAGTGCTATTGAGATAGCATTTGGATGACAATAATTAAAATAGGATTCGTTCAACGTGAAGTGGCTATACGTCGATCGGTTGGGAGCTTTCGGTCGACGTCTGGTCCTTAGGCGTCGATCGGTATCTTTAATTTTTTGAACTAGATTTATGTGTGACATTAGTTATTCAGCACAATGTGAATATACCTTATTTTGACAGTGAATGTGGTGAGTGTAAGAATTAATATTAAACTTTGCTAAGTTTTTTTTTTATAAATGTCAAATAATAACATATGAATACATTTATGTGTAATTGCTGCATACATTTAATATCAAATAATAACATAAATAATATTTTGAATTAAGTTATATTTATGTATGACATTATTTAGTTAGCATTACGTGAATATCTTATTTAAATGATGAAGGTGGTGGTGAAAGAGTAAGCTACTTTGTGTAATTATCGCATCCAAACGCAGTCTCAATGGCACTTAAACAAATGAGGACGTAACCAAATATAGGCCAAGTAATGTGCACCGCATGGGACAGGGCAAAGTGACTTTGAAAGATTCGTGCCCGGGTCATTCTTCCTCTCACAAATTTTCAACGGACAAGACTATTATAAAAAAATTTAAATTATAAAATTTTCTTTTCTCTTCTTACTTAATAAACAAAATAATGTGTAATCTTATTATCTTTTCTTCCATCCAACCAAACAGAAAGAGAGAATGATACATCTCTTCCTAATGTTGTGTTTAGTTATATGAAAATAAGTTTTAAAAGAAAAGAAATAGAAAATAAAAGAAAAATGAAATGAATGAAAAGAAAAGTTATTTTCAAGAAAAATGTAAGAAAATATTAATTTGTTATTTTGGATAGCATGAAAGTGAAAATAAAGCGATTGAACATACCAAAATTATCCTTATAATTTTAAATACTAAAAAATAAATGAATTTGTATTTAATGATGTCTATTTTTAGCAAAGAAATAGTAATATAATGGATTATTAAATTTAATAACATAATTATTTATATTTAAAATAAGACTTTATAATATTTTGTTAGGTAGAAGTAGAACTAATTATTAGTTTAAGAGAAACGAAACTTAAGAAAAACACGGAGATGTACTGATGCAATAACAAATTTTTTAGAGACATTTGATTGTATGTTATTGTTGCTAATTACATACGAACTTGTGAGAAAACAAAGAAAAGTGAAAAAAAAATAATAAAAAAATAAAGTTATTTTGCAAGAACTTACATCTTAGAAATTCAATAAAAAGATAAAGAAAGAAATTATTTTGCATGATTAAGATAATGCATAAAATAAGAATATCAAATAAAAAGATTTCTTGTGTTTCGTGAGGAAAGATTTTGAAAGGAAATAGGCAAGTATGAAATTTTCCATTTATCCAAACTCCAAAAAAAACATAAAAAATAAAAATTCTTTCCGCCTAATTTTAGGCAAGTATGAGATTAATAGGGTATCTCACTAAGCTCTTCTTCTTTACCTTTCACCTAATTTTCTTCCTCTTAAGAAGCGGAGCATAAAGTAAATATGAGTAAACCAAATTGAATTAAGCTTTCTTTTATTTATTTATTTTGTCGTGGAGTACGAGTCCCCATCATCCGTGTGATTGAATTGAATGGGGTCCCCGGGGTTTGACCCAATTTCTCAAATAGTGGAGTATATGGTCATTTTTAACATTTTCAACAGACAGACGACGACAATGACGATGACTAAAATCTATAAGTAGTAATAGTAAATTAAAAAAAAAAAAAAAAAGAAAAAGAAAAGAAAAGGGTGTAATGTCACGACATGACTACCACTACAGAGCTTCAGATCCCAGATCTGACACTCATTTAGGGAGTACTAGTCCTAATTAGGGCTTTGTGGTACGAGCAGTAGATGTCAGTTGCATCTCTACTCTTTTAGAGAGAGAGAGAGAGAGAGACAAAAACTGTCGGTTTGCAGCGGCAACTGCCATGGAGTTGAAGAAACAGAAGCTTGTGAGGTATGTAAAATCCAATATTTTCCTTCGTCTTTACCACTATATTTTTCTTCAATTTCTGTTTGGTCGATGACAAAAGGTAGGAAAGTAAAACGAATCAAATTTTGAAACTTCCATTATTGCCGACCTGAGGGGGAAAAAAAAAACTTTACTTTGCTAAGCCTAATGCTAAAATCTCAATATTTTGGTCGTTTTCCTTTGGCTTCATATTCTCTGCAACTAATCTGAGGGACCGGAGAAAATGCAGCAGAAGGGAAGAAATCGAGATACTGAATCTCAGAATTCAGTTATTCTCACTCGATTGAGCATATACTCACACTACAGGACACCACTGACCAAAATATTTAGGAATTTATCTTATTTTCTTTACCAGAAAGAAAGGTGGATTTGAAAATTTTCTGCTAAAAAAAATTGTATGTGTTGCAAAATTTAGGTTTTATTCTGATGGAAAGCAACTAAAAGATGCTTTATGGGGAAGAAGTGATCCCTCGCACCAAGATAAGTCATCTTCTGGATACAAGGTTCCGTCTTCCATGCTGAAAAATGATGGTGGATTTGTGGGTAGAGGTAAAATCTCTGGAACTTCCAAATTTGGATGGTCTAAGGTTTTTCTGGAGGACCAACAGACGTGGCGCAAGCGTATACTTGATCCGGGTGGTGAGATTGTGTTGCAATGGAACAGGGTTTTCATTGTCGCTTGCTTGGTTGCACTTTTCATCGACCCACTCTATTTTTACCTGCCTAGTATAGGGGGGAGTAAGGACTTTTGGTGTGTGAAGACAGACCTCAATCTGAGAATCATAGTCACCTGTTTTCGGACTGTTGCAGATTTTTTCTATCTGTTGCATGTCATTATTAAATTTAGGACGGCTTATGTAGCACCAAGCTCAAGGGTTTTTGGGAGGGGTGAACTTGTCATGGACCCCAAGAAGATTGCAAGAAGATATATAAGATCGGACTTCTTCATTGATTTGATTGCCACGCTGCCTCTCCCTCAGGTACTTTCTCTTCCACTACTAACATCTCTTGTAAACATATTACAAGCAATATTTTCTGGTTGAATTTCTTTACTGGAAATTAAAGTCATGTATGAAGCAAAGATAAGAAGATCAATCTAGATTACTCAATAACCATAAATATTGCCTTTTCTAAAGCGTGACTGTGCTTGGGAAATAACCAAGCAGCTATAGGTATTGGGGGCTCTGTATGATTCAGTTCCTTCGTTCATCTGTTTTCAAGTTTAGCTTAAATGGGTGTATGCAAATTTCAGTGATGACTTTCAAGTGTGCCAGACTGGTTATTAGTTGTCTAGGGATGGTTGGAAAGTTTTGCCCCATTTGATCGAACATGGGGAGTAAGTCTCTCCAAAGTGTCCATGTGGGGGGTATTTTTCATTCTTTAGAAAAGAAGGGCTTGACTGTTTTTATGCTCTTGGGTTGAACCTAATTAAAGATGTTTTAGGCTGATGAAAAGTACCTGTGAGGGTGAATCCAGGCAATGACAAATTTGTCTTGTCCTCTTTTCAATTTCTTAAATAAAGTTGGGTTTTATCTGTTGTCTAAAATGCAAAGCTTTTCCTGTTGTGTTGAGGGGGGACTGTCAAATATTGTTGTTGAGTGTGACCCGACTCTATTGTAGAGAGCAGTTCCTTGAGCCTTGTAATGTAGTACATATTGATCAAAGACAAATGCTGGTTAAGGCTCCTTTTTCCGCTGCCGTCATTTATACAAGGTGATTCATTGGTTGACAATAGTGTTAACTATGATCTTGATGAAATGAATATTCTATATTTCCGCGGATAGTTTAATTCCTTCTAACGTTCAAAAACGTATCAAGTTGGGTAATCAGCCCCATTTACATCCTCTCAAGGTAATTTATTATCTTTTAAAAAGAATATAATTTCTATGTTTTTCCTAAGATTAAAATTGTATTTCAAGCATTCCCTAGGAGGTCAGGCTTATAGTTCCTCTACTGCTTATACTAATTTTTGTTTTGGTTTATAGAATTGTTAGGGTGCTGACTTTTGAGTGAAACCCCACTACTGATACCTTGGTTATGCTTCCTTGGGATGGTGGATTGGAAGTTAGAAATTTGAGAGGAAAATTTGTCTATTTTTTTTTTTTCACTTTTCCTTTCCTTTGTTGTTGTTGTTGTTTTCCACTCTTTCTACGTACAAAAACTGATTTTAAAGAAAAAGAGAGTTAGAATTTTACTGCCTTTTACCAACAAGCATTTCTCTCAAGTGGTATCTCTTACTCCTTCCAAATGGAAGGTTGAGGATTCAAGTTCCCTTGGCAGCAAACTGGGTGTGTGAGTAACTTATCTATTAATAAAAAAATAAAAGTCACTGCTTTTAGTTGAAACCTGTATTGCACCAAGGAGAAAATGTAAAGTGCGCGAAAAGTCCAAAGAGCAGAAGGAAAGCAAGCAAGAACGCAAATCAAAAAAGCCTTTTGTAGAGGAATAGGAACCGAACTGTCTCACGGTTGTGTTACTGTACAGATTCAATCTTCCAAACTTTCCGCCCCCACTACTGCCATCTAATCCATGCAGAAAGGCCCAAAGCCACTGCCTGGCATCAAAGAGTAGGGTGGGAATGTAGATATAGTTAGTTAATCAGTATCAAAATAATCTGTACGTGTAGTTTGTTCTTTATATCTATTGCTAGACTTTACACGATGAGTTAAACACTTATTATTACTCATATTTCTAAAGAATCTATGAAAGGTTGTTTCATCTTTACCATTTTATGTTCACGAGCTTACTAGGACAGAAAAAGATTGTTGATTAAATATGTATACTGCAGATTGTCATCTGGTTCATTATACCGGCAACAAGAAGTCCAAGAGCTGATCATAATAACAATGCCCTTGCGCTGATTGTTCTACTCCAATATGTTCCCAGGCTATATCTGATTTTCCCATTAAGTTCCCAAATTATTAAAGCAACTGGAGTCGTCACAAAAACAGCTTGGGCAGGGGCTGCATATAATTTGCTATTGTATATGTTGGCTAGCCATGTACGTAACTTTGAATTACTTTCTTTTTTATTATAAAAATTTCCGGTATGTACTTTTAACCAATTTAGTTTTAATCTCTCTGTGAGGGGTAGTCAATTGCTGACATTCTTCATTATTCAATATTACTTTTTCATTTCTAGGTAAATTTTAATGATTCAACATTGTCCTTTTAGGTTTTAGGGGCAGCATGGTATTTGCTGTCAGTTGACCGCTACATGTCATGTTGGAAATCACTTTGCAAAAAGGAATCTGGCCCTACAAAATGCTTCCTTAACTATTTGGATTGTGATACATTTGACCATGTTGGTCGCAAGACTTGGGCAAATAGTACAAATGTGTTTAAGAGTTGTGACCCTGACAATGATGGTATCAGTTTCAACTATGGCATATTTGAGAATGCAGTCACCAAAAGTGTTGTCTCCTCAAATTTTCTCGAAAAGTACTTTTATTGTCTATGGTGGGGCCTACAGAACTTGAGGTATGCTTTCTCCCAATTTTTATCACTTCTAAACAGTAATGATGGCTGTTGTTTTAATGTTATTATTTTGTTACTGTTGGGGGTTCTACATTGCTTGTCAAAGTGTTGCTCTAGGCAGACTTGAACAAGGAACGTGATTCATCCTTAAAAACTGCAATTTGGACAACAATTGCTAGAATATGTGTTGTATCAATATGGCAGGCATTGTTACATTCCAACACAAAGTAGGGAATATCTAATCGTACAAATGGTAACTGCTATAACAAGAAATATACAATTTCACAACAATGACCCAGGTTGACCAAAATATGAAGGAACTTATGGGGCTCCCACTCTGTAATCCCTTGCTATCACATCAGCTTACCTGTTGTTGCTTGCTTACTCAATAGTCTTTCTGCCTTTTCTCTTTCCTTCATAGAGGTGTCAAATAATTAGATATGAGATTCCAACATTGTAATTTTATTTTAAACCAATAAATTTGTTATCACTGCAAAATGTTTCTATATCCATGACTGTTGGACACCTAATTAGGTGAGTTAAATATTGCAGCAAAAGGGAATGGGGGAAACTATTTTAGTGGTTCAAATATTTGTAGTCACCCAGAATCTGAATGTTGATATGAGGTTGTGACTAATTACATGGAATATTTAGTTTTTCTTGTCAAATATAGTATATCATTATTTTGGCTTTGAATGACAAAGCATTGCTTCTGACTGCTAATTAGTCTTGTCCGTCATTTTTGGGGAGTGATGGACAAAGTATTTTTGTTTAAAAGTGAATTTTGCATCTCTAGTTTCTATAATGGTGTACAAGTGTTAGTAACTGCCATGGTTTGGTAAGTAGTGATTAATAACAAAATGTTTATTGGAGGAGCTTGGAGTTGTAAGCTTTTTTTACATATTTGATTAAACATCTATTACTAATATCATATTTTCTTTCTAGTTTTGATGAACAGTATACCATATAAAAATCCATTTGTTAGTAATTTTAATACTCTTTTTTATTTTTTTTTCTTAGTTCATATGGGCAGAATTTGTCAACAAGCACATTTATTGGAGAAACTTCATTTGCCATACTCATTGCCATCTTGGGTCTTGTTTTATTTGCACATCTGATTGGGAACATGCAGGTATTTGATTGATATAATTATTAGTGGCATTCCTTGACTTTCCCCCATTCAGTTGATATAATTATTAGTAGCATGCAATTGATATAATTATTAGTGGCATTCCTTGACTTTCCTTTGGTTCTTTTTACCAAAGTTGTTATTTATTTATTTTTCCTTCAATCTAGTACAAAACTTTTCATTCTATTTTGTATGATCAAAATCTGCTGGATCAGTGGCTTGAATCAAAACTTTTCATCCTATTTCGTATAATTTGCTAACCATCTATAAGCTTGAGTCTAATGCCTAAAGCTTAATTGTACTATTGTGTTCTGAAACATGCATTAGATTTAACACTTTAAGGCTCATCTAGATGTGAAGCTCAGTGAAATTGTGAGGTTTGAAACAGTTATTATATAGGTAAAGGTGTTTTAGGAAATCAAGAATTATGCCCAAAAGCTTGCCTTATCTTCTAGGCATGTGTCTTGTTAGAATTTGTGAATGAAAATTGTTTGATCAGTTGTCAACAGAATACGTGAAAAGGCATGTACAGTTGATATGCTTGATGTGAAGGGTTCATCCATTCTTTAACATTTTGGGAAATATGGTTGTTGCCATAACGTTGTTAAAGATGGTGATTGGCTACGTTTAGGCTGTACCTTTACCATACTGATGCATTGGACTGAACATGTGTGATCACTAGTTGGTTGTGGGATGAAAAAATGCAACTCAAAACCAACAGAAATAACCTATTCAATGTGAACCATTGCAACCTATTGGAGTGGGTGTGTCTGGTGATGAACAGACACATATAAATGGTGTGTCCAATGATGGATAGACAAATCCAATAACCAAGAGGCACCATTTTGCCTATAAATACCCCCACTTGGCTGCATAATTCATTTCGTACATTTTTCATTTTCCTCCCCCTCTCTCAACATAAACCCAAGTGGGTGTAACTTCAAGCCATAGGTGAAGTGGTCCAAGCCACTTAGACCTAAGAACAATATGGATGAGCCATTTGATTCAGATTGCACCAAATTCATTATTTATATAGTATAGATGCATTTTTTAGTCAGAGAGAGGATTACACGGTGGAGATTCGTCGTATCCACGAGTTTGAAGTGCTGCTACTGGTGGATGTAGACCGTTGTATCCTAGGAGACAAGCGTTTGAGAGTCCGTTAGTACCATGCGGGGTGTAAATTGTCTTAAGGACATAGTATCCAATACTAGCCTCGGTCAAAGTTCTTTATTTATTATTATTATTCTATTGCATTGTTTTGCATGTTTAATTAAATATAGAGTTGCATATTTAATTAATTATTTCTTAGCATATTTTAATTCTCTCATAGCATATTAGTATAAGATTTGTTATATCTTAAATGTCACATGAAGCATATATAATTTCCAACAAGTCTTGCATCTCATAAATTTAACTAAATTGAAAATATGGATCCTCTCTTTTTTTTCATAAATGGATTTTGTTTAAATAATAAAAACAAATATATACAGAAGCACAGAGGGCATTCCCTCAGAATATATGAAAACCAATGAAAAATATGGACAAAACCCCTATCCATTACAAAACTATCAAATGACTAAGTTGCAACAAAGTCACTGAGCTTAGTACTGTTAAGGTCTAAAACTTCCATCAACAAACCCCTTGCCACTGAAACTGGTTCAGTATTTGACCCGTACAGCCTTGCATTTCTCTCATGCCAGCTACCCCAAACTGCTGCAGCATACAAACATTTGAGAGGACCAGTATTGTACAAATTCCTAAACCAGTTAAAAAGATCTCCTATAGAAGAGATCTCAACAAACTTCTGCATATCCCAATGGAGAACCCCACCAAACCAATTCCAGAAAACCTAAGTAAAAGAACACTCCACAAACAGATGCATTATAGAATCAACATTCCTTTGGCAGAGAGAACATCTAGCTGCTAAAACAACACCCCTTCGTTGAAGGTTCACCGTGGAGGGAATTCTGTTAAGCATAACAAAAACAGTGGTAACAGACCATCTTGGCCTAGCCCTGCCCCAACACAAGGTAGCCCAGTTAACCTCTTGAGCTTCAGACCTACAAGAAATCCAAGCTTTTTTAAAAGAAAACACACCTCCATCCCATAGCAGTCTGTGATCAGCATTATATTTAATTGGCACCAACCCCAGATATTCTTTTAACTGGTGTAAAGCAGGCTCCTGAAACAAATTTAAATCCCAGCTTCCATTATTCATTAGACAATCCAATGAATCATTTCTGGATAAATGTAAATACCTTAACACTCTATGACCAAATCTCTGTGCAAGTGTCATCCCATCACACCATGGATCTTTTAAATTAAAAAGTTTTCCATTACCCACACTGAAACTGATGTAATTCAACACATGATCTCTAACCTCCACCAAGGCTTTCCAAATTACTGAATGGGTCACCCTTGGAATGATTGTCCAATAGTCAGAATTAGGAGTATATTTAAGTTTATACCAAGGTACCTACAGTCTTATCTTTACTTGTAAGAAAATCCCAAGCTAATACCAGCTTAGAGGCACTCTGAATGTCAACCAATTTTTTTAATCCCAGTCCCCCTTCAGCCTTACTTCTGGTGATCATATCCCAGCTAAGTAAATGCATCTTCTTTGAATGTTCAGTACTACCCCAAACAAAATTCCTACATAATCTTTGCAATTGATTAATCACAGCCACAGGGACATTGTAAATGCTGCACCAGTAGAGGAAAATAGGAGTGACAGTAGACCTGAGCAGCTCAATCTTACCTGCTACTGATAACAGCGTTGTACTCCAACACTGGATTCTGCTAGAAACCCTGTCTATTAGCCCCTGACAGTGAACCATCTTAATGCCATAAGGACACAATGGCAATCCTAAATACCTGATAGGGAATTGAGCTTCTGAACATTGCAAAACATTCAGCAGCTGCTGCTTCCTTCTCACTGCTCCTGAAAAAATTACATTACTTTTCTATTGGCTAACTTGCAGCCCTGTAGCCTCCTCAAATTGCTTGAATAAACCAGATAACACCCTAGCATTGGAGGTGGAAGCCTTACAAGCCAACAAAAGGTCATCTGCAAAGAAAATATGGCTCAAAGAAGGATGAATTTTAGCAGCAGTATGAGTAATCTTTAGATACCCTCTCTGGACTGCAGCATTAATAGTGTTGGACAAATGTTCAGTAACAAGAGTAAACAACAAAGGGGATAGAGGTCACCCTTGTCTTAATCCCCTACCTGGTTGGATAAAACCATTTGGAGATCCATTAATCAAAATATAATATCTAGTAGAAGTAAGAATAGCATAAATCCATTTGATCCACACTTCACTAAAACCATAACCTTTCAGAGCCCTCAACAAAAAACTCCAAGACACAGAATCATAAGCCTTCTTGATGTCCACCTTCAATGCCATTGAAGATATGGATCCTCCAATGCAGCAATGAGTGGTACCCCACCTCATTTTTTAAAATTTGTTTACGCAAATGCAAAATATGGTACTCTTATAATTATTATTTTCATTTTCTGTAATATGTTTACATTAATGCAAAATATGTAATGCTTAATGTACTTTGTGTTCTTGAACTTTTATTGAAACTCTCCTTTCTTCTTAAAAATCTGTCATGAGAAATTTGTTAGGAAAAAGCAATGTATAGAAAGTGAAGAATTCGTGACCTGCTAATATAATTTTATATTGATTAAGTTGACGGCAAAGATGAACTTTGTTATGAGGTCCTGAAAAACACATGAAGTGGGGGATATGGTTATAAAACAGTGTGATGCTTTGGTCAATTGACTTATGGGAAGAAAATTAAAAGGAAAATTAGGAAGATGAAGACTGGAAGGTAATGATAACAAATTGGTAGGGTTGGTAGGGTGAAGGACAGTAAGACCGTATTCCCGACAATAGGCCTAGAGGAACCATCAGCTAAAACAGTATGATATTTAATAGTTTTAAATCAGCGAAGAGAGATGATACACCAGACACGTGAGCTACCTCTGAAGTCGATGACCCAAGACGGAGAGGATTGAGCCGCACATGCAATATTACCTGAATTGGCTAGGGTAGCGATTGAAGTGTATGGAAGAGAAGTTTGTAACATCTGAATATGCTTGCTAAGCTAAGTAGTGAGTGCATAGCATCACGAGAACCAGAATCAAAAGTTACATGTCTTGAGGTAGTACAAGGCTGCAGTGACTCTGTAGTACCATCGTAGCCTGGTGCACATAATCGGGTTTGCCTTATTTCGCCCAATAATAAGGTTCAATATGATTTGTACCACCACAATGATCGCACAATCCGTTTCCACGTCCACTGGCACCATCACGAGAACCACGACCACCATAGCCACCACAAAAACTACCACGACCTCCACTGCTAGAAGCTAAGGCAGAAGACTCTAGTAGTCACAGTGGAATTCTACCCCAAAGAGGACCTCAATAATTGAGAATAGGCATTACCGGCAGTAGGTAATTTTTAGCGAGAATCTGATCTTCAAAGCCACGAAGATTAGAGTCTGAACCAGACAAAGTGAAGCAATCATAATTCCTCTCAATGACGCTTTTGTCGTTCCAAATCAGTTGTAAATGGCCAATGCTGCAATAACTGATCTCAAAAATATTTAAGAATGCTATAATGCTCAGACAGTGTCTTCTTGGACTACTTAGTGGTAAAAAAATTCTCATACAGCTCATACAACCGAGAATCATTACTTTGCTACAAAAATGACTGCAAAAGAATGCCAGACCTGCTTAGAGGAATCACAAAATTCAACTGTAGTGGCAATATGGGGTTCCATACTATGTCACAACAATCCCATAACAATAGAGTCCTCACACATCCATGTCACAACAATCCCATAACAATAGAGTCCTCACACATCCAATCGTCATACTCCCAAGCCTTATTGTCATCAGGGGAATATTCGGTTAAACACATAAATTTCCTTCACCCACGCAGGAAAACTTGCATAACATAGCCCCATGCAGGGTAATTAACTCCATTTAAATTTTTTGAGGTAATCGACTTAAGCGTATCATCATCCTCAAGGGGTTATAGTTTATCGTTAGGCATGGGCAAAATTTGAAGAAAGATTAAAAATTAATAATAATGGGATCAATACTGCAAATCCAGAGAGCAAAGTGAACTGCAAACCCAGAGAGCAAAACCTAGAAGAACAGATTAAAAAATTAGGATCAGAATTGAAACCAGAGAGCAAAGCCTGGTTGACAAGATTCAGACGCAGAATCTGAATTTATTAGTGAGTTCAAGTATGAATTCCGAATGCCCAAGCATCCAAAAACAATTTCATAAGCAAAAGTTTCCAAATGTAATCTCTAGAAACGGTAAAGGACTCAAACGACAGATAGCCTTTCGAGCCAAAAAAAACTTGTTCCAGTTTCAATTGATCGACCAATAAGCAACAATCAATATCTTCCCAGGTCTACACACACCATGTACAGACTACAGTGGATCTCAACTGAAAAAACCAAAAAAAAAAGCTCCAAAGTCTTAATCGAAACATAATGAGCCAAAAAACATGAAAAGTTTTGAAGAAAGAGAAGCCCACTCAAACAACTCCAAAATGAATCACCAAACATCACCATTATTACTAGAAAATTCAGGCGATCCAGTCTATATGGTCCTCGACATGTTAACGTCAGCGGGTCAACCCCTTCTGATGTTTTTACAACTCAATATGGATGAGTTTTGGGCTTCGATCTCCTGCTCTTATACCAAGTTGAGGTTGTGAAGTTGTGCTTCTAGGGCTAGAGAGAGGAGAGGAAGAAGAAAAGAGGAAATAATGGAAGAAAAGAATCTGATGTAGTATACATTCCACATTTCTCCTATATATATATATATATATTTATTGAGATGGCAAAATTACAGAAATGCCCTTAACCACTAACAATATTACACTAAAACCCAAACACTGACAAATCATAATATGTATGAGATGGTTGCAAACAATGGATTGTATTAGCTGATTATGTCTAAATTATTTTGTCTGCAGAATAATCTTTGGACGTATAGCCCTGTCCTGTTAGGTTAAGCTTGGTTATATTGCAACGAATTTGTCACTATGCCATGAACTCAATCTTGAGATTATAGATCATAAGTTTGTAGCCCTAGCCCTTCCTATTGTGGACAAAATAGCTCTTCTAAATACCACGTAAAACAGTAATATATAGAAGATAGGGATCATAATATGCGTGTTAGTGTCTTTGCAAACGTGATGGTGAGTCAGTGGATCATATCCTCTTGCATTGTCCAAATAAGCCATATCCAAATGCGATCCTTCGAAACATCTCCTAGGAGTCAACCACCTCCAAGACTCCAAAACTCGAAACAAGTCTCCAAAAGACATCATTTAAGGTTGTGCCCGCAATCATGGGAGTCACACCGTGTTATTAAACATCTTTACATGCATACACCCATTTTTGGCCTAAAAAGATGCTCTCAGCCAATCGTTCGTGAAAGGTCACGATCGATCGCACCTTCATGCCCCTTTTTAATGTAAAAAGATTGAATCTTTGAAAGAAAATGAGAGTTTTGAGTTAAACTTATTCAAGTTCCCCTTAAAATGGCCTGAAACAGTAAAAAAATGAATTATAGACCAGTTTGTTGCTCATTTTAGGTCCAAATTAGTTGATTCTTGAGCCTAAGTTTATCGATTTTTCGTTGGCTTTCCAATGGTACCAATCCCATTTTCAGATTCGATTCCTACTGAAGTGGTGTACGACTGTTGAAACCTCATATTTAGGTTATTTGGTATGTTTTAGGTAATGCCTGGATCTTCCAAGGGATTGATTAATGCATGGAGGGGATGCCGTGTGAGAAGTAGTGTTCGCGATTTCTGGAGGGCAGCTCCGCATTTCGTTTGGTGGTGCATTTGGAAGGAGAGGAATAGTAGAATGTTCGAAGGGAATGAGTCGTCCATGGCGACGCTGAAACTTCATATTATTCGTTCTATTTTTAGTTACGTGAAGAGTTCCTGCTCCTCTCCCGATGACTTAGTTAATTTTTTGGATTCTTTGGGTCCTTAGAACCCAGTTCGACTCTTGTTATGGGACGCGTTCCCCTTTTGAACGCTTTTTAATTGATTATTATTTATCAAAAAAAAAAATTGCTGTGTTAGTGTCTAGAAATTTGTTACCCCAACAAGAAAACCAAAAAATTTCACAGCTTTGGTTCTTGAAAATCGTATTATATAAAACTCCCCATTCTATGACAATCTGATTTAAATAGATGCACAGTTTAAAACCCTGATATGGAAGGCCTTTTGCTTATTTTTCATTTAAATTGAAATTGAAATTGGATGTGGTGTGATAGCCCAATGGTAGGGCATGTGTTGCTTGTGGTCAAAGGCCCAGGTTCTAATCCCCACTCCATCAATCAGTTTCATGCTGGTCATTCTCCCAACCTTTATAATTTCATATTTATGCTCCTTGGGTTACTTATTTTGTGAAAATATGTGTATGTATATAAAATTTTTAGCCTTTTCTCTCTTTATGTAGACATACCTGCAATCTATAACAGTGAGGCTTGAGGAATGGAGACTTAAACGAAGAGACACTGAGGAGTGGATGAGGCATCGTCAACTCCCTGAAGATTTAAGACAACGTGTTCGGCGTTTTGTTCAATATAAGTGGCTTGCAACTCGAGGAGTAGATGAAGAAACTATCCTGCGTGGATTACCTGCCGATCTTAGTCGTGATATTCAGCGTCACCTATGCTTGGACCTTGTTCGGCGTGTATGTTATTTCCCATGCATTTTGATTCTATAGAGATATAGGCTAATGGCAATTTTTTTTTTAAACCTTGGCATGAAACTCACACCCACACTTTGCCTCTATGAGGACTTGAACCCTCGCCCTTCCACTTTCAAAGGCTAATGGCATTGCTAAAGCTTCTTTTGATATTTTGCCCGTAATAATGATTTGGATGATTGTTGACATTACCCAAAAGTGACTTGCAGCATTAAAGCTATCTTGAATGGCATGTGTGAGCTCCTTTGTGAGCTTCCATGCAACCTGTCTTGTAGAAACCTTTTTTCTTATCTCAGCACAGCTTTGTTGTGTATTTCAGCCTCCTAAGAACTCATCATCATTTGCTGGATTGCTGTCAAGGGTGGCTGCTTACTCAGTACAAAGAATTTCAGCCATTAATATCCTAAGAATATTCTCCCTCTAAAATGGAAAGTGAAAATCCTGGAAGACACATCAAGATTCAACATCTCCATATTATTATCTATCAATCAAAGAAATATGTATAGCAAATGAGTTTACTACTTTTAACCTTCCTCTTTAAATATTGCCAGGTCCCATTCTTCTCACAGATGGATGATCAGCTACTTGATGCAATATGCGAGCGTCTAGTCTCATCGTTAAGCACTGAGGGGACATATATTGTTCGTGAGGGTGACCCTGTGACAGAAATGCTGTTTATTATCAGGGGAAGACTAGAGAGCTCTACTACAAATGGTGGCCGGACTGGTTTCTTCAATTCCATTACATTGAGACCTGGAGACTTTTGTGGAGAGGAGCTACTGGCATGGGCTTTGCTTCCAAGATCCACTGTGAACTTGCCTTCGTCAACTAGGACAGTCAGAGCACTTGTTGAAGTGGAAGCCTTTGCATTGCGAGCTGAAGATCTCAAGTTTGTTGCCAATCAATTTAGACGCCTCCATAGCAAGAAGCTACAGCATACTTTCCGATTTTATTCCCACCATTGGAGAACATGGGCAGCTTGCTTTATACAGGCTGCTTGGAGACGGTACAAGAGGAGGAGGATGGCAAAAGATCTCACTACAATGGAGTCCTTCGTTATGGATGATAATGTGGCTAGTGGATCTGGGCTAGAGGAGGAACAGGACCATGATCTTGTGAGTTCCAGTGAGACAAAACCGAAACTTGGAGTCACAATATTGGCTTCAAGATTTGCTGCAAACACAAGGAAAGGAGCTCAGAAGATTAAAGGTGTGGGGCTGCCTAAATTACAGAAACCTGAAGAGCCCGACTTCTCTGCTGAGTCAGATGACTAAATTATTTGGATTACTAGAGAGAGGTACATATCAGCTGCAAAATGGTGAAACCTATCATCGCTTATGTGCACGAAAACAATTCCAATGAGATCTTGATGCGCAAACGCATTCATTAAGCTCCACTGTGTTATTCCACCCTGCCAATATGGGGGGAAGAAAGGAGGAAGGGGGATTGTAATTGCATTCCTCGCATAGTTATGTCCATTTTTTGTGGGTTTTGCAAGAATAGATAGAATCACTTTTCTGTGCCATGAAAATAGATAGAATCCGCTTAGTTTGTTTGTGTTTAAATCTAATGATAGGTGTGTTGTCCGACAAAGTGAATTGGCTTCTCCTATTCACGGGACAACATGATGATGAACGAATGAATTATACGCATACTTGGATTGTACTGAGAAAAAAATATATATATTAAAAATAAAAATGACTTGACTTGGGTTGGGGTGTGGTGGGGTGGGTTCAATTATTATGTGATGAGTGGGGTGGGGTGGGTTCAATTATTATGTGATGAATAATAATACCATCTTATTATGTTTAGATCTCATGCCAATAAGAATTCTCTTAATAAAATATATATTTCCCACCCCTCTACTCTACTAGCATCCCTTGACCACCCAACCCAACCTCCCATAACAAATCAATGATTCAAAAATTAATCTTTTCGTTTAGGATCAAATGCGTATCATAGAATCTTCACCCTTTTTCTACTATGTTTTTTTCATGATATTCTCTCATAAATCCACCGTATCAAACTTAAATGCTATATGTTTGAAAGTGCTAATAATTATGACATTAATGGCCCCTGAAACTTCATTTGCAGTCTATTTACTGTAAAAGTTACAAGAAGGAATTAAAATTTTCTGCAATAGCGTCATAAATACACTGGGGAATCAACTCAGTACTGATCCCTCCCCAATGCATCACGGTGTACCAACGCAGATCGGTCCTACACAAAGAGACTCAACTAGCTCGTTAAATAGCCTACTCGTTGACTGTAATTTGAAATATTACTTTCTAACCTGATTGACCCTATCAAACAAAATACAGGGTTAGTTTTCTGTGCTAAGATCTAAGTTTAATTAACATCAATTGCAGAGTTAGGGCAAAAAACTAGCCGTGTCTATAATGTGGTTATCACAAATATTACTATGCTGATGGGAGCCTGTGAACCCTAGAATCACTGATGTCATAACAAGAAGGATTACTTGTCTCTCTTTTAACCAAATAAACCGGGGATTTATTTTTTATTTATTTTGTGGAAATCAAGCTGCAGCTAAACGTAACAATGGTAAAAAGTACTAAAAAATATTAACACATTTGACACAAATTATTACCCCCAACTGTTTACCTTCTCATAATGCAACTGCAGTTATTTATTACTGTTTGGTTGGTGCGATGACAAAGTGACTTCCTCTACAAGAACATGACCATCGGAATCAACTCTGTAGGAGACATCCAGGCCTTCCAAAATCAGGTGATAGATAATATCACCAGAAAGAAACGAAGAAACCTGCTCAAATCCATTATCAGAAGCTTCATCAGGGTAATTGTCCAAGTCCAGAGCATGATCAACTGTTTCGCCATCTTCTGTCTTAACTAGGGAATTATGAGGGCGGCTTCTTTGAGATACCGATCTTATATCCCATGAGAGCACTTGCTTGACCAAGCTTTGAAATTCATCAGGTGATGCATAGAGCGATTTTTTTCCCTGAAAATATGCAAATGCAGTACCTCAAAATCCAACATATAAAAAGGAATACCATAAAGAATATGCAGGAGTCCTGTATGTGGGAATCAAGTTATGTCTTGTGTAATATCTTTAAAGTTTGAACCAATGCATGGAAATAAACAGTCCATTCAACACACAATTGGTTTTGATAAGACACAAGGAAATTAGCATAATAACAGCAACAGCAATCATTCTTGGTTTTTTGGTACAAATGATGAAAAATTGAAGTTAAGGTATGAACAATGGATGAGGTATTCCAAAGTAATAGGAGCATTTTGCCCATGTTATTTGGTTAAGAAGAAGGAATTGAAGGAGGAAAGAGATAAGGTGTGATGTATAACTGTTTACCCTTCCATATTAAAAAAATAAAAAAAAAAGGCTTCTTAAGGGTGAAATGTATGAAGAGGCAAGATTCTTTCTTCCTCCTGTCCTTCCATTTTCACGAGGAATTGGTATGGTGGGCTTGAAGGGAGGGATTCCCTCCACTCTTCCTTTCCCTGCCATATTCTCCTCTACCAATCAAAGGGAGGCCTTGCACCCTCACCCACTCCTCCCTCCCTCTTTCCTCCTTTCATTTTTCCACCAAGAGTCATTTTAAATCTACCTTGTTCTCTCATGCTACAGAAAAATCTCTGTAGACCCATTCAGAAGTTACTTTCATAGATTTAGGTGGAGAAAGAACACGAAATTGTTAGGATGAGCCCATGTCCATATTCTGTGAGGGGTCTGTGTAGTTCTTCTCTGGGTAGTGTTTCAGTAGGTTATTTGGGTTTGGTTCCTTCATGTTTGCTACGGGTTATCGTGCACCTTTTCCTTGTTTCTGAGTTTTTTGTCATTTCCTTGAAGGACACCCCCATCCTTCTATTGTATTCTTCATCTCTCCTTTGCTGTAGTTATTTTTTGCGTCTCTTAAACACTTGCATCATGGGACTAGGTCTTTGAAAATTACTGTTTTTTTTTTTCTATCATCAATGGTAATGTCCGGCATCTTGGAGCACCCCACATAATCCACCACAAGGAACATGCAATCCCCCGTCCCACGTGCACCGGAAAAATTCCCTGGGAGTGGCCCCAAGGGGATTTGAACTCCCAACCTCCAAACTGTGAAGTGAGAACCTTGTCATTAGGCTATCCCCTTGGGGTCTAGTCTTTGTAATTGATTTTTTCTCCCAGTGGGTGCTTCAGATTTGAGGCTTTTCACCTTTAACTTCTCATTACCTATTTCCTTCTTCTTTAGGGATCAATCTTCTTTAGGGATCAATAACAGCTCACATTTACTACGAAAGAACAAAAGCTAAAAAGAGAGTTTATTTAGCAACTTGCAAAGAATAATATATAGGATAATAGCCAATGCAGAAAGAAAAGAAAAGGAAACAGAATGAAGACAACAATTATTCAGATCAATCACATACTGAAAGAAATATCATATTTAATACTCCAATCAGATTTAAAAAGTCTTACCACAATCTTCCGACAATCAGCTAGAGCAGAGGGAAAGCCCTCAGAGAAGGTAACAGAAGCTACATCTAACAAACTGTCGACCTGTCCAAAATTAGGTCTTAATTTTAAATTTCAGAGAGACAATAATAAATATTAGAAAGTAAGACAGCAAAAAGGTTGCATATTTATTAAAATAAAAAAAGGTGATGTACAACATTAAAAGACCTTTCCAATCCATAAATCACACAAAAGTGCTAGCACAACCCATGTACATAGGATGTACACAGCACTATAGAAAAACCATACTATTACAATCTTCCAAACCTCTAAAAGAGGATCCAAAAAAAGTTAAGCACTGATGTAAAAGATCTGAAATAAAAAAACTATTCTATCTTTTTTGCATCCAACTCATGTACAAGGTATGATTATTATTGAACAATTGAAATAAATGGGATATAGATTGTCCGGATTCTGTAAAAGACTACAAAGCAAACTTCCTAATAAATTTTTTTCAGTGTTTGAAAAAATGCAAGGTCTCAAATGTAATGATTTATCAAATTAAAGAAAAGCCAAACCTTTAAGAGAATTGGATACAAAAAAGATAGAATCACTATAAAAGTATAGTGTTGATGCACATGGGCTACAGTATTGGTCCACTGATTGTACTTGGACTATATTTTTTTATTGGGTCTAAATATGGACTCTTCACGACTAGAATATTTTAGTAGTGAAGAGTCATAAGTTTTTTTATTTTTGTAGTAGTAATATAATCTTACTACAATGGTTTCTTTGACATAGCTTAATCCTTGCAAGGGTGAAACGATTTTTTTTTTTTTTTTTCTTTTTCTCTAGCAAACTACGGGGAGGGGGGACTCAAAACACGGGCACACCCACTCGGGGAGCTGGGCGATCTACAAACTAGGCCATTGGGCAATGCAATAAGCTTCATAGATTGATTTGTCAATTTTTTCCTTTTCTTGTCTCTTTAATTACTATTCCTGAGGAACTTTACAAAGCACCCAAACAGCTAATAGATGTAAAATCACAAGTAGCTTGTGAATCATGAATATAGTACCTTCACCCACACTGGAACAATTGCTCCCGGGATGCTGTCACAATATGGTAGGTAGGGTTTGACATCGAGAACAGGCTGTTGATCAAATTTAAACCACGAACAACACTCATTTAATAACATACAGTGCCTGGGTACAAATACATTTGAGCAATTTCTTTTAAAAAATGAAACTCAGATTTTCCCCCCATAACGCAGCTATTGATAGACCAATTCAACACTTACTGTTCCATCGACCAGATCCACACCAGAGAGCAGGACCTTATTTCCTTGTACTACCTCCACCTAAATGACAAGAAGAGTATATGTGTGAACACAATATGCCCCGCTTCTCAAAATGCATATCTAGCTAAGGCATACATCTTTCACTCAAAATCATAAATGTCCAGTGTTGAAAGAAGAAAATATGTTTCAATGAGATTACAGGGGATCGAAACAGGATTATACAGAGAAAAGAAGAGCAGTCGGGATGAAGGAACCAGAATCAAGTACATTATACATCACATCAAACATCTTAGTAATTCAAAAGAATCAAAACTGAATCCAGTCAATTGTTACTTAAGCGTGCACTGAACCCAATAACCCTTGTGGTTCATAAACATAGTACCAGATGTCATTATCCAGGAAGTGAATTGAGGCTGGCTGAAAGCTGCAATGTCAGGAAACGAACCTTGTGCTGCCTTCAAAAGTGGCATGTAACATATCATTAATTGAACAGAAGCCTTTTTGAATCCATGTCCTTTTTAAGGGGTACGGTTGTTTGAAGGAGAAACACAAGATTAAAATATTAGGAAAGGTTACTCCTGATAAAAGAACTAAAGGATATTCATTGTAATATATTTATCAAAAAGATTCCACTAGAAGTGTTTGGGTGGTTTTCTTTCGTGGAAGTTTCAACCTCTCTTAGCCTCCAGAGAAACAAAAAAATTCCAGTTTCTGAGAATACATTTTTCTCTTTTCAGAGTACAGTTGAATCAGTTTAGGAATAACTTATGTGCTTATAAAAGACGCATCTGTGCATTTTTAGAATTCAATTTTACCTTTGCCACAGTAAGCCCAATAGGGCATAGGCGATGTGGAGATCTTGTTGCAAATACTCCCATCCTTCCACCCTTCAATCTTGGTACTCTAACCTATTCATCCAGCCAACCTTTTTGTAGAATTCTGAAACATTTTAAAAATCACAAAAAGTAGAATCCATAGGAAACACTGTCTCAGATTAGTAGAACCACATACCTTCGCCTTAAACTTTGACTTACTTGGATGCTTCCATAACTTTTCAAGATCTGTATTCAAATGAAAAACATATAGAATCCAGCAATGACTATAATCTTCAAGACCCTCAAGAGATGCTGGAGGAACCCGAGAGGAATCAAATACCAAGCATGCCCTAGCAAGAGGTACAAGTAAAGGTTGCCTTGGCGTCCCATTCCTGCTTAAATGAGAAGGGTCAGTTCATGGGAGACTACACAAGCATTTAGAAATTCACAACCAAATTGGGTAGCTTGAAAGCCAATGTTAAACTTATGTCAGGATCATATGAATATTGCAATGTTAACCAACACATTGCATCAGCTTCCGAATGTTTTGAAAACGGTAAAAGGACGGCACATCGGCGCCTGAATGAGGTAAAAAGTAGGCAAGGGTTCCCAGGTTTTTCTGGGCAACTGCTGGTAAAAAAGTGTCCAATAATGTAGGCATAGGACGGGTAGTGTCCAATAATGTAGGTTTAGGACGGGTAAGGGAATGGAGTTGGTAGATACACTGATTAGAAGGGTTAATATTATAAGTCTACATGAAATTAAGAGGGTGTGAGGAAACCCCAAAGGGTTGGCTCAAGTGGTTAAGTGTTACAAGGGGAGCCTTGTCCAACATCAGATCCAGATGGGAAGTGAAATGGGTATAAATCGGTTGGGTGTTAGCCCCACCTAATAACTTAAGCTTTTGGATCGGATCGCGAAACACCCGGCCCGTTACAGTTGGTATCAAAGCCAAACTCAGTCCTTCGTTCGATTTCATGCGCAAGCGCCCGACCTAGAGGCGTACAGGTGAGAAGCCCCGGGTAGGCAAGGTGGCCCAACCGCAATGAGTTCGGGTGAGGGAGAATGCCACAAGGGGAATCTTGTCCCACATCAGATCCGGATAAAAAGTGAAAAGGGTAAAAATGGATTGGGTGTTAGCTCCACCTAATAACTAAAGCTTTTGGATCGGATCGCGAAGCACCTAGCCCGTTACATTAAGTTACTTGGCCCTGGTACCTCATAAAGCATGAGATTTAAGGTTCAACTCCTCTTGGGTGCAAACAATGCCTTGAGGTGGGGTGGGGTGTGTGAGTATCAATTAAGATATTTGAAAAAAAAGTGTGTGAGGAAAAGTTAAGTTATTGAGAATTCAAGATATAAACTTTATTACACTGGAAAAGAATAAAATAGAAATAAAGAAGCGATAATCGTCTATAAGAATTTTTTTTTTTTTTGAAAAAAAAAAAAAAAAAAAAAAAAGATGTTGTAACTGGTATTAGAAAAAAAGGATAGGATAATATTAGTAAAACTTGTATTAGGAGAAAATATAATTGATATAGTTAGCGCCTGTGCAATCGAAGAGGTAGTAAATGAACACATTAAAGCACAATTTGGGAATATATGGATGAATTAATTCGAGGGATACTTGAAGGAGTAAAATTATACATTGGAGGAGACTTTAATGGTCATGGAGGAAAAGATTGTGGAGATTATATTAGGTGGACCCAGATTTGAACACAAAAATGATGCTCAGGAGGCTATCTTAGGCTTTGCAGTGGAATATAATCTCATAATTTGAAATACCTAATTTAAAAATAATAATAAAAAATAATAAATAAATAAATAAAAGATCTTCATGTATGATGGATGGATGTATCACTAATTCACTATAGTTAAAATGACTGAGGAAAACAAGTAACTGTAAATTACTGTAGGCTTACATCAAATGTCAGTATGAAGCCAGTATCTTTTTGCATTAGTTATGGATGAACTAACAAGACAAGTCCAAGATGAGATTCCACAGTGTATGTTATTTGTTGATGATATTATTTCGATTGCTGAAACTAGAGGAATAAGTATTAAATTAAAGGTTTGGAGGAAAACTCTAGAATCAAAAAGGTTTAGGACAATTAGGAGTAAAGTTGAATATATGGAGCGTAACTTTAATAATTTCATTAATACAACAAATAGGGGAAGTAAGTGAGGATTGACAATGAAGAGGTACAAAAAAATGTATTTTCGTTATTTAGGCATAATGAAGGAGAAATTGGAGATAATGTTAATCATAAATCAAATGAAGGATCGGTTAAATGGAGGAGCACATCTATTATATTGTATGATCAGCATATGCCGTTAAAACTGAAAGGAAAGTTCTATAAAGCAACTAGTAGACACTTTTTTTTAAGGGGGTAGAATGTTGGACAGCTAAGAGCATATGCATAAAGTGAGTTGACTAACATGGAAATTTGAGATGGAAGTGCGGAACGACAAGAAAGGATAAAATTAGAAATGAGTACATCAGTGAAATGGTTAAAGTAACGCAAATTAGACATAAAATGATATAATCGATTAAGATAGTTTGGATGTACATAGACCACTAAGTGCACCAGTTAGGAAGAACAATTTGGTCCACATTGTGATTGAGGCTAATATTAGGAAACAGAAAGACCAAAATTAAAGTGGTATAGTTAGTAAGGAATGATGCGGTAACATGTGGTTTGACTGAGGTTAAGGCCTTAAGTAGATTGAAATAAAAAAAATAAGATTAATGTAACAAACCTCAGCTAGTTGGGAAAAAGGTTTTGTTGAATTGACATTATGAACAAACATACACAGAGGCATGTGTGTACAAGCGAGCAAGTGATCATATATAGGATGCCTTGTCCATGGTTGTAAAACTGAACCAAGCTACTCATAAATATGTGGTGATCCTGTAGGCGGGTGTGCGTCGGCGGGTGCAAGGCATTGGCAAACTACCACACTGGGCGAGCTACAGGTGCACAATCCCATATCGCCTGGGTGTAGATGGGGCAAGTGCTATATGTAAATTCAATACCCTTCTATGATACAACGTGTTTAAAAGCCGTGATGGCCGTGAACCTACCAGAACTTCAGAGTTAAGCGTGCTTAACCTGGAATAGTAACAGAATGGGTGACCCCATGGGAAGTCTCTGGTTTGGGGAGCCAAAAGCGGACAATATTGTGTCTGGCTAGAATGAAGGTCGTTACAAATGCTATCAGAGCCTGCCAGCAGGAAGTATGCCAACGGGGACATCGGGCCTCCAAGGGGGGTGGATTGTGGCAACCCTGTGGACTGGTGTGCGTGGGCGGGTGCGAGGCATTGGCAGGCTACGACACTGGGCGAGCTACAGGTACACAATCCCACATCGCCTAGGTTTAGATGGGACAAATGCTATATGTAGATTCAACACCCTTCTATGACACAACGCGTTTTAAAATCGTGATGGCCGTGAACCTACCAAAACTCCAGAGTTAAGCGTGCTTAACCTGAAGTAGTACCAGGATAGTTGACCCCCTGGGAAGTCTCTGGTTTGGGGGAGCCAAAAGTGGACAATATTATGTCTGGCTAGGGTGAGGGTCGTTACAAAATACCTCAAGCTTAGCTTGTTAAAAAGCTTTTTTGATATGTAGCCAATTAAATCAGTTAACATCAAGCTCAAGTTTGATTCTTACATTTAGTGGATGACATTCAAGGTCCGGTTCTTCTTCTTGATATATATATATATATATATCTAAAATGTTTTTGAGCAACCTTAGGGTTGTGAAATTTGATGTCCGGTTCCGGCGACATAAACCTAAAAGAAGCTCACCTATAGAAGAAAAGAAGCAGAAATAGTTTTTAAAAAATTATGAGCAATTAGTAAGCTTGCTTTTTCTAGTAATATGTTATTATCACTATGACACTATCCATTACTAAAGGCAGAACTAACTGCACAAAGAATACAATTCTTAGCCATCTGATTAAGAAGGTCACCTGACATCATTTACAAGCTTGAGCTTCACCAAATATTGAGAAACCAGTTCCAATATTCTTGTGAGCTTAGAGCCAGGCTCAAGCTGGATTGAAAACAAATCAAACCAAACTTGATATTCTGATACTTGGCCTAGCTATCTCTCTAATTTCTACTCCTAACTTCTTGTTAATACCAACCATGGTTCTACGCTTAAAACTCGACAGTTAAATTTTTAGGTATGGACCTGGCTTTTTTTAAACTGCCAAATTTACAAATGCATTAGTCGAACGGAAACTTCCAACAACTTCTTTCATTATTTGACCAATTTTCACAAAATTTTCAAAAATCTATCATATATATACTTCATAGCAGAATTTCAAACACCTTTGAAACCAAAATTTCTACTCTGAGAATATGCAACCAAAATTTTGCCACAATATAATTTAAGTGCCTCTTCGAATCCATATATAGTGTCTTTTTACTTTTTAGTATAAAGACATATGAAAGTGCAGATTATGGTGACGTTACAATGGCTGTAAGTTTATCCTCATTTTTTTTGTATTAACCACAATATTCCTTTTATATTGTAGCTTATCTTCATTTATCTAACAAATTCTATCAAGAAATCCAATCCAACAATTGGTGAGCTGACCAAATATGGTCCTTTCTATTAGTCAACTACCACTCAACATTAAAAATCAGTGAAAAATCTCACTGGATCTATGTTTTAGATAACCTGCTTACTCTACAGGCTATTATCGTGACCATGGAGGCATGGATACATGTAGCTTCATACTCGAGTAAATTTCCACTTTTCACAAAACAATGGAGCTTGTCTTATATACTTATTTTCATTTAGGAGGGACTCAAAATTTTATCATTTTCTTTAATATTTATCCTACTTTAGTAGAACTAAAACTTCTTAATGAAAATTATCCAGATCTTATATGGGTTAACACAATTGAATCTAGCTGTTTGCCTTTATTCAGTTACTTTGCCCTTCTACATAGGAATACAAGTGTACAACATATCGTATCAAGTGAAAAACTCAAATTAAGATTACTATGCAGTATCTAGTGTTTCTTGCATGAAATGATAAATTATATATTGTCATCCCAAATTACCTGGTAGAGAAGCATGACCGGACGATGGCAATAGGTATCATAGGATAAGAAGTGAACTCTGAATTGTCAGAACTAGGTTGGGTCAGTGATTTCCTTAAAGCCTACAATTATAATAAAGAAAAATAAGTTCATAAAATAAAGACATACCTCAAGGTTGAAGCAATTTTTTTCCTAAATTTTTTTTTTCCCTAAATAAGGTTGAAGCATTTATGACGTGAAGAAAGCCTAATAATACTACATAATTACATCCTCACCCAATCATAGACAAAAGGATCAAATGTTTGACAATAAAAAGGAACAAAGAGAATGCTACTCCAAAATTCTATTAACATTTTGTTTCTCAACTCTGAAGATAAAAGTGATCTAAGCTTGCAAAAAGCATTACACCTGGACAATAGTGTCAAAACAAACTCAGGAAAATCAAATTGAAGAAGGTATACAGAGATGTTTCAATCTGGACAATAGTGCCAAAACAAACTCGGGAAAATCAAATTGAAGGAATAAAGAAATGTCTCAATTAAATACCTTCGTAGCACTGGACTGAAGATTAATTTTCTCGTATTTAGTAGATATCTAACTTAAAAGGAAATTTTGCAACTGCTTTTTTTCTTCTTCTTTTACTTTTGATAAGTGAAATTTGCAACCGCTTGGAGACAAGAAAATTTGTTCAAGTTAAAAATAAGTCTGATGAGTAGAAGAAAGCGAAAAATATATTTTTGCATATGAAGGTGTGATAATGTGGTGGGGCTCTACAGCTATTAAAGCGCCACAAACAAGGAGAAACGACTGGTGACACCTGGACGAGCAAGAATGCCTCCTGGAAGCTTCACTAGAACTGATCGTGAGCAATACACAAACCTCGTTCCAGAGGTTCCGTAATACTCGTCAAGAAGAGCAATAATGACCAAAAATTCATACTGATTCTAATTTTTCCAAAACATAATCCATTCTTATCACATTTACAAAACACAAATGAAAAGTTCAGGAACCGAACTACTCAAACTTCAACCAGAAGTAAAACTACAAATGCTACATAGAATTTGGTGGTGTGCTGAATGGGTATAGATTCTAACTCACAAAGTCAAACATGTATTATCCATACCGAACACTAATTTCTTACATAGTGCTGCACCAACCTTTGCACTCAAAATAAGTCCTGGTCGGGTCAAAAGGTCTAAGCAAAAGCCAAGAAGATAAGTTTATCAAATGTAAAGAGACTCCCAAGAGCTCAGCAAAACATATGGTAGTGTTTCACCTTGTAGATGGTCCCCAAAGGAGGGAGATAAAAAAGTTCTAGCCACCTCAGTTGAAAACCCAGAAGCTATTCATTTTACAAAATTTCTTGCATAGCTCTCCTTAAAAATCCACAAAAAAGAGCACGGGTATTTCATCCCACGTCTCCTTCTTTTGAACATATTCTTTGAAGAAAAAATAAATAAATTACGAGTAACATTTTGAGTGTGAAATATCACTGGATTTGATAAAAAAGAAGGAACTTATGGTAAGAACATGTCACCAATGCATCTACACATGCAATAGATGGTCCATACATATTGTTTAGATCCTTTGAAAATAAAGCAGCAAATGGCTAAAAGGTGTATTTCTAGAATTGCTATAACAATTAGAATTCTGCCCCCATGTGCGCAATAGTCATTCCGCTTGTTTGATTACAAATCAAATTAATAACAAAAATGAGTAAAATTTAACTTAGCAAAGTTATTCAAAACTGGATGGCATATTGCTACAATTAGTACCAGAAAGCCCAAATGTTAAATCCCATTCTTGGCAAGTAAGAATCCATTTCCTAATATGGGTTGGATCATAATATGTGTATACATAATATATAGACTGGTCAATTTGAATACAGATTCAAGGTAAGAGGGTGTGCACAACACCTGTTGAGCCCTAATACGGCCTTGCCTTTCAGCAGCACACTTCTCTAATGAGCCCTTGAGAGATAACTCGAGCTTTCGAATCTTCTCATTCGTATGTATTGTTTTTCTCCCCCAGAAATGAACTGAAAATATAGAACATAAGGAATACATACATACGTAGTATAGATATAAAGATATATATTTCAGGGGTGCCTGTGCTTAGGGTTTCGGGAGAGAGTGTACCAGAGATGGCTGCAGATGCAGAAATAGTGGCAACCGCCAGTGTTATGGAGAATGTTAACCATTTCGATGATGCGTCAAAAGCGCCCATCACCCAGCCTTTCTTCCTTCACGACTCTCTTGCTTGTTTTAAACCTACGCTTCCTTTTCCGTTTACCCACTGCGTTGGTGTCAACTGTCAAGTCGGGGGCTACTCAACTGTGTGTGTGGTTTTTTTAAATTAGGTTTATTACATATTCAATCATTTCCTTAATCTACCAAAAAAAATATATATTCCGTATGTATATATTACATACATACATATATCTTAGGGTCTCGAGCCAAAAACATTGAGTTCTTAACATTCAAATTTTTAGCAAATAAGGACAAATGTTAAAAAGACTAAAATGACCTCTCTATAACTAAATAAAAAACAGGTAAAAAAATTAATTAATTGTGAAATAACTAAATTGTCCTTCTTTTTATGTATATAATATAGAGTTGCGGGCAAAAAATATTATGGTATACATATAAAGTATACAACCCATGTACGTTTTAAACCTCATTAACATTTAATTTTGGTGCAAACAATGACCTGAATACTTAAAAGTCTAAGTATCCCTCTACAACTGAATAAAAAAATAGATAAAAAAAACTAATTAAATGTGACAAGTGTGTATATATATAAGGGCATTATCGAAATAGATAAAGGTATTTTTAAAATTATATATCTTAAAAATGTCGCGTGCAATGTACATGAATAAATTTTTAACGAATTAATGACATCAAACCTTTATTTGCCACATTTTTTCAAACTTAAAGGACTTATATATTCAAAATAAATTATAGGGATAGTATTTGCCCAAAATGTAAACATAAGTGGTGTTTTTCTCACTTTGCTCTTATGAGGGCATTATAGGAAGAGATAATGATGTTTTTGGAATTTTATATCTTTACAGTGAAGTCAATCCTTTTTTTACTTAATTTCCAAACTTAACGGACTTATATACATAACATAAGCCCTTCTTTGCTCATTTTTTCAAGCTTAACGAAGTTAAATACTCAAAATAAACGATAGGGGTATTATTTGCCCAAAATTAAAACATTAAGAGTGTTTTTCTCACTTTGCCCAATATCTTATTCTATGTTTAATACTCGCTCATGTAATCGTATTATTTATTATTAAAGTAATATTCTAATTCTTTTTGGCATGTTACTATTCCTATGTTACTAATACTTTTTTTTTTTTTTTTTTTTTTCAGATTAAGTAATATCATTGGGGCAATTTACCTTTAATACAATGGATAAGATTGATTTAATTTTATAGGGTAAAGTACAATGACGCCCCTAAGATTTGTCATATTGACAGTCATAGTCATATACAAGTTCATTATTTTTTGGATAAAGACACCCTTAAAGTTTAAAAAAGTTGACAAAGACACCCATGTAACCACTTGTCATATATAACACACGGGGAATTGACCAACTTGCCCTTTGACCATTAATGAACCTTTTTAATTTTACAACTTAATGTGTTGAAAATAAACAATGAGATGGATATAAAAAAGTTAATTGAAAGCAAATATAATACAATTCAATAAAATAGTTGTATTGTACACCCTAAAGCAAAAGACGGTAAATTTGTTTATATGATTCGCTAATGTTTCTATTGTAAGAACTTTCTAACATAAATAAAATTCATGGATCCAATGCATAAATTTATAGGAGACATACCCGGATATAGAAACTTAGTTCGGAGATAACTACAGCGGAAACAATCTTCAATCATCTCCTAAGTTTACAAAATCGGATGATGGACTCCAGGCCTATTACACATATATAAGGGTTGGGATCGTTTTAGTTCATACGCGAAGAGATGTATGGGTTTCATTAACCGACATAACTCTTTATATGTGATTGTTCATTCTAAGGGTGCAACCTCCCTTATATGCATATATAAACAATATATTTAATTAATTATTGATAGACTACTATTTTGATTACATTCTCCCACTTAGTCTAATAATAATTAATTTTGATCACCTTAATATCAAAATTATCATAAATACACTCTAGAAATTAATACATATATTTACAAGCACATGAGTAGCGAATACTTCATTTGCATAAATCTACAGGAGACATACCTGGATATAGAAACTCAGTTTGGAGAGAACTACACCAGAAACAATCTTCAGACCGTTTCAGTTCATAAGTGAAGAGATGTATTGATTTCTTTAACCAACACAACTCTTTATATGTGACTATTCATTCTAAGGGTGCAACCTTTCTTATATGCATATATAAACAATATATTTAATTAATTATTGATAGACTACTATTTTGCTTATATTCTCCCACTTAATCTAATAATAATTAATTCTGATCACCTCAATATCAAAATTATCATAAATGCACTCTAGAAATTAATACATATATTTACAAGCACATGAGTAGGGAATATTTCCTTTGCATAAATTTATAGGAGACATACCTGGATATAGAAACTTAGTTTGGAGAGAACTATACCAGAAACATTCTTCAACCCTCTCCTAAGTATGCAAAATCGGATGGTGGACTCTACGACTATTACGCATATATATAGTGAGGGTTGGAAAAATTATAATTCATACATGAAGAGATGTATTGGTTTCATCAACCGACACAACTCTTTATATGTGATTATTCATTCTAAGGGTGCAACCTCTCTTATATGCATATATAAACAATATATTTAATTAATTATTGATAGACTACTTTTTTACTTACATTGGTCTTATGGTAAATTTGTTTATATGTTTCACTAATGTCTTTGTCTTATGGTAAAATGATAAGTGCTTAAATGTTGCACATTTCAGCACCTAAGCTAAGGTATTAGTCTTTGCATTTATCTTATTTTTATGTTTGAGTCATAATTTATGTTTATGTATATTTGAGGGCAATAAAGTTTAAACGGGTTTAAAACGATCCATTGCCGCATTTTTAGAGACAAGCAGAAAGTTCCAGAACATTTCAAAATAAATCAGAAAAACGCCAAAAGCTGGGTCCGGACGTCATGCTACTGGCAGCAAACCAGTTACGGGATTGTCTTATTTTATTGGTTACGGTATTAACTTATTTGGGCTTATTTTGTAACATATTTGGCTTTAATAGGCTTGTTACTTAAGGCCTAGTGAACCATTATTTTTAGGGTTAGTTTTTAATTATTTTAATAGTTAGTTTTTATTTATTTTATTAAGTTTTATATTCTGTATCGTTTTTTTTACGCTCTCTCTCTAGAAAAACACGCGAAAGAGAGAAAAAGTAAGAACATGCGAGGGTTTTGAGAAGCAACTCAGAGATTATGAAGCAGATGATGGAACTTGTTGACACCTTGAGTTCATCAATCATGAGCGGCTAATTCTTCAACTTAGGGTTAGATAAACCCTAAGCATGTAACCTAATTCTTAACTCTTGACTTTTGGGGATTTATTTGTGTAATATATGTTATAGCCTTGAAATATATAAATTAATTCTTTCATTTGATTATCTATGTCAATCTCATATTGTCTTATATGTTTTTGAATGATAATAAATTTCTACACTTGATTTCTTTGTGAATTGAATTATGTGATGGCTATACATTGTGTTAAGTAGATGTAATTGTGTTTTGATTTGATGAAAATTGTTTACACTTGATGGATGGCACTACATGTTTAGGTTAATTCATTGTCTAATTAGTTTTAATTTCATGCTTAATTAGTTTAATTTAAGTTTAATTAGTTAATTGCACTTTAATTCCTAGGTAAGTAGACCATTCATACTTGTGTTTAAATTCCATACTTTTTGTCTCAATTGCATTATCCTTTTGATTAATATAGACTAAATTGTAACTTAAATTGATGGATCATGCTTTGAATTAGTGAATTGCACTACACTTAGTTTAATTGTCATTAGGTAGGCAATTTAGGCTTAACATTGATGTTTCATACTTTTCATTACAATTGTTAACCTCATTTAGAATTACATTTGATTTTCCCCAATTAATTGAAAGTTAGTAAGTTAGGGAATGTGCTTAGTGGTGAATCCTACACCCCAAATCTATTTCCTAATCTTTTAAACTCTATTATTTTGTTGCAAGTATTTAAATTAAAATTAGTTCTAATCCCAAAACAAACCTCTTTTCAGCAATCACATAAGTACTAAAGTAAAATTCAATTCTAAAAACCAACATATTTTAGATCTCTTGGGACGATCCTTGCTCGCTTCGTACTCCATAGTATAAATGTTTAGTGGTTTTATAAATTATAAAATATGGTGCCCACTTGACATTATTTCTAAACCTAAAGTGTTATGCATTTTTTGTGCACACGCACCAGTAAATTTGTTTGTGTTTGTTTTAGAATTTATTTTTCCTCAATGGAAATATGGAATGCATATAGTTAAAATAAGAAAAGTAAAGAAATATTTAATCTTACAGATAATTTTTTTATTTTATTCTTAACCATTTTTAAAAAGATTGACTTGGGAAACCATATATTTCTACTCCCCTCTAGTATTTATTTATTTTTATTTTTTCATTTTATCCCTATTGGGACTTGAATCATCGACCTTTTTATTCTGTATGGTGAGGAGATACCATTTGATTAGAAGGCCCTTTGTAACGACCAAAATTCAAAGGATCCGAGTCATTAACGAATAATGCAACTCAATTGGGTCCTTACCCAAACCCGATGTTAAACTAAGGGTAAAACGATCATTTGACGTTACATCATTGTTTAACAGGCTTATTACGATCATAACATTCATTAATGAGATGTACAATGAGGTTACAACGAAGTCTCAGGCCAAGGACATAAGTGTCCAAATGTACACATGTGAATACGACTATGACCGATTGTAGGGCACTGGACAACTGATTGTCCAGCGTCCTACGTGCACTTACACGCGTACTAGGGTTGCGCATGGCACACATCATGACAAGTGACAATCGATCGTAGTGTGCTACAATTGATCACCTAAATCCCAGCTTATTGGCCTACAGTAAATTGGACCCAAAATTCAATTTATGCAATGGACGGCAAGTCGTAAGGTTCCTACAACTGATTATCGAACCCAAAAAATATATATATTTCTTTGCTCATTTTAAATCATGGGTCTCATTCTTAATTGAAAGTTGGTCATTTGGGCCATTTAGTACCAATCCCGGCTCACAATGCAATGGGTAATGGAAGCAACAATGACATCCAT